CAGGTTGGCGCAAGGTTTGTGACTCTCATTGGAGACTGGGAGCATGCAGCCGCTCAAGACGACAGTGCAGTGAGTGATTCCCAATATCGTTAGATTTGTTGATTGCAAGCACACACTATGAGAATTTCAGTTGATTATGTTTTGTACTTGTGGCACTGATCACAGTGCAAGCTTTAATCACTTTCACATTCAACTTTCACTTTGCTGACAACAAGTTGTATAGCTATTATGTCTTGATTACTTTTTGCTTTTCCTGAATATTTTTTATTGCATATTTAGCCTGTCTTCTTTCATTCTTGCACATTTGTATGATAAATATTTTTTAAAACTAACAGTACTAGTCAAAGGTTTGGACAAACCTACCCATAGAAAGGTATATTCATTATAATATTATTATTAAGACATCAAAACTATAAAATAAAATATATGGAATTATGCACTTAACTTATTAACATATTAATAATATGTTAATAAGTGGGGGGGGGGGGTGCAACTCTGTGGGTTGGGACTCAAAAGGTTTCCAGTTCATATCACTTGAGGCCCTTAACCCCAGTTGCTCCAGGCACTGGCTGATCCTACTCTCTCCTCTACACCAGTTACATGAGGTGGCCTCCTGGGATGCTTTTCCAGCCGTCCTGAAGGAGGTCCCACATATATGCTGAGCTCTCATTGGCTGCTTTTCCTACACTCTCTGGTCAAACTCCTCCAAAACCATTTCTATTGTGTTTAGGTCAGGTGACCAGGTCATATATAGACTATATATAGTCTCTCTTTTGCTTTTACCACTCACAGCAGCATCTGATTGCCAAGCCAATGCATAAACATCGACATAAATCCAAACAGACAAGCGTGCAAAGCCTCTAGAGCGGCGACAGTGAGCTGTGGGGCTTTTCTCATCACTCAGTATGTACTGAAGGTAATGACTTCAAGTAGCCAGAGTCAAAGAAACAGTTTAACTCACACTTACTGCAGGTTTTCTTTTATACAGATATCCACATGGACATTTCTTTACTTCCTCTCCAGTAGCTCTTGTCCTGTACATTAATACTATAATTCTGTGCCGGAAAATCCATGTCTCTTTAATAGTCCAACCTGGGACTCATCTGCATTGAGTACTATTCTATAAAGGTGCAACAATGTGTCTCCATTATAAATGCATTTCACTGCAGTTCAAAATGCTACCTAAAAATAGTAATGATAATTTCAGCTAATATGCTGTTTTAAAAACGTTTTTCAGAACGTTTTTTTTTTTTTTTTTTTGTGAACTTCTTACAACAATCGCCATTGGAGCATAATTGAATAGAGGCTTCATTGACTTCAAAAGCACATCTGAAACCAGTATCTCGTGTTTCTTCTTTATTTTCCCCTCCCTGCTCATTTGTTTGCCAGCTATAGATGTGGTTTGTTAGGTGGATGGTTGTTTGTGTTTAGTTAGAAACACTGGAAGCAATTTCTACGTCTTGTTCAGCTGGCACTCGCCACTCCTCACGCAGCTGCTCACACTGTCAAGTGACAGGAAATCAAGACAGTCTTCCGATGTACATGACTGTTTTTTGTTTATTCTCGTGTTGCTATGCTACAGGAAACCAAAGCATGATAACATTGACAGGCCCGTCACCATGGAAATGTTATTTCTTTCCCTCGTTTTCTGTGTATCATTTTATTGGCAACTGTAAATTTTTATTTATACTGCAGCTAATTCCAACATCTTGCCTGAAATTAACACTTCCACAAAGTTGTCTTTACATCGCTCTTTCTTTGCTAAGATTGACCGACATGAACCAGTGGAAATGGCATCCTGTCTGTCAAAGCAGCTATTTTTTCACTTCCTCCTCTCTGTTTTTCATAATTCATCGTTTAAGCTGCAGTTGCAATGCCCCTTTGATTCTAATGCAAAATTCTTCATTTTAATGCAACTTGATCACCACTGTCTGGTTTTGTTTACAGTAGCAAAGAAACCTTTGACAATAGCAAGTAGCAAAAGAAGCAAGTAGCAAAGAAACCTTTGGTTGTCTATCTATTTCTACAAGTCAATAAATATCATGGATTTTCCCCTTAACATGCTCAGTATTTTCTATATGCTCACCGTAGAAGCATGAGGTGGAAAGACGCTGATGTTGTGCCTTAATTCTTCCTCTCTGCAAGCGTGCTTTTGTGTTGAGAGATTACTGGTGTAAAACAACAAGTGCCTGCAATCTTGTGAGCTCTGTTGCATCACAATGTAAAATAATACGAATAACACTTCTCTGAAATAAATCACCATTTTGTTGGTCTTATGTTATTAAGACACAACCTAGCAAACAGGATATTTTAATCCATTTCCAATTCACTTGCCATTTTAAGTAAGTTATGTCACTTATATTGAAGATGTAGGCAAGTTAACAAAAAAAAAACAGTTTAAGGATTTCTTGTCCTTGGATTACTTAATGTTTAAGGAATTAAGGAAAGTCAACTAATCAGCATAGGTTTATGAATCCAGGCACTCATGGGACGTAGAAATAAGTGCTGTGATATTATAATATTTGCACCAGAGACACAATCAAACTTCCTTTTCCTTCCTTTCTTGTTATTTTGAGGTATGATCAGATCAGAATAATTTTGCTGCTGTTAATAATTCTATGCAAGTAACTTCACAAATTTGGAAGCATACTATATTATAGAAACCAGTGGTGGAAAATGAATAAAAATATATTGCTATATGTTGTAGTGAACTAGTATTCGAGGCAAGCAAAATCCCACCTTATACCCAGTTTTTCCAAATTCCAGATCACAAAAAATTAGGCCTGTGTGTGTGGGGGGGTGGGGTTGGTTCAGAAAATAAAATCCAATGCTTTTCAAGGCCCAGGAATAAGAAGGAGGTTAACTGACAGTTTGTACCCATGACCTGACTTTGCCCCACCCTGAGACATCCACCCCCCCTCACCGTACCGCTCACAACGGGGTTGTGGAAAAACCAGCACAGGCAGCGTCCCTTAGGCAAAGGCTAGGACGACTCTGCCATAATCTTCACTCCATTTTCCTCACACTACACTTTTCATAAATGAACCGAGGTCATGACTTGCCAAGGCCTGTTACCGCAACATAATTACGTAATTAAGCTATTTGTTTTCTTTCTCCCTGCTTTATTCCTCTGCCAGCGATGATTTGCTGTGCACGCTACGCTCCACCAAACTTTGGGATCCTGAAAATGTCTTTACTTACTAAGTCTGGCTGTGCCTCTGATGGGAGAAATGCAAGGTAACATGTAAATTGTGTGTAAAAGAAACTCATTCCAATTTCACAGACAAAGAATTCTCGTCTGTAAACAGATTAGGTCTATTAGCTTTTTCTTCCACCTTTTTTTTTTATAGAAAACCTAAGTTAACCAACGAAACCTAAGCTAAGCCTATACCTTTAATCAACATTGTCTTAGTGAAACTTTATTTTTGATAATTCACTTCAATTAAACATATCAAAATGAACCTTGACTGAACTTTTATCACTCGCAAATTTGTGTGACTTCAAGGCCATTAACTACTAGATCAAAATGCATATATTATCAGAAGCCTTAACTGTCATTAACACCATATGCATGATCCCCCCCCCCTTGAAATTCATTGTTTGGTTGCCTTGGTAATGACTCTGACTAACAAGGCAATGGTCTGGATGCCAGTTATCAGCGGTAGCTCATGAGTCAAGCATGAGTACAAAAGACCATGCAAATTACGTGATGCAAATATTGACACACATACACTAATAGACCCTGAACATACATGGCCAAGTCTGTGTCATCTAGCAGTTAAATCTGTGAACTATACATGCTGATATAACAAAGTACAAAGTGACCTTTAGCAACTCTCTCCTTGAATTCAATAGTCCCCTTATTGAGATTATAGATGAGGTGCTGTGAATGTCTGAAGGTTGTGTGTTTGAATCCTATGGCCAGCAGAGTGATCATATGAAAATCCCTTAAAAGTGCCTGGAGCACTTCCTGCTGACTGACCACATGCTCCAAAAACCCTCTCATAGATACGCAGATGGAATATATGAAAACCAAAGAATTCCACTCTATAAATGACGTCTTAATAGTGCAGGTATCACTATAGTTTGCAACTGAACTGTTCGACTTCCAGGCTTGGCACACTCATGACGCAATGATTACTCAATAGGACACAGCCCTTTGGGCGGGAACAATATATTTCCAAATGACCTGAGCCAATAATAGTTAGCACTTCTAACCCAAGAAAGATGTTAAGATTTTACTACGACAGGTACTTTGGGAAATGTTAACTAGTGATATTGAATAATATTTTAATTTTATACCGTATACAATTAAACATTCACCCATGGTACTATACAGCACTTACAAATCACGTAAATATTTCATTCGAAGTCATTCGAAGACCGAATGCTCCTTCGTAGTGTTTTCCTCTATTTTGCTAATTTTAACTTTAAACGTAATAAACTTTCTAGGCTCTGCTGAAGAGGACCACTCCATACACTACAACACTTTTTTTTCTGCAAAATTACTCTGGTGCTTTTTTTGCTAACTCCAAGCAAGATTTTTATTTTCAGTGACAGTTTTCTTCCACCAACTCTGTCATAAAGGCCAGTTATGAAGCATTTCCCTGTAGATATTCCTGAGTGCTGTACATGTTCTCCATTCCCTGAAATGTAGCTCCATAGTTGACATAGCGGCATCCCTGACTCACGGGTATGTTCAGGGAACATCTGTGCTTTTCATTTCATTTCTGACAGGTGTTTTCACCCTTAGATCACGAGAAATCAGATTAAAGGCTTGTCTTAATGTTTAAGCATAAAATGTGGCTTTAATTTAAAGTTACTGAAAATTCACGTTTCAGAGAACAGATTCGCGTGATCCGCTTCAAGCTTACAGCTTCCTATTATTTGCTTACTCTTCTAAACTTTCTATTTCTATCTGGTAACGCTTACGGACATACGTAGTCGTTCGAGCTATTTCCGCCTTTTTTATTCCGAGCATCTTCCATTTTTTCGGCGGTATAAATGGACAGACTTGGGCGTAGCGCTCACAGACCCAGGCGTGGCTGCGGTGAAGCAGGTGCTCTGCCGCACGTTAATCCTTCTCATCAAAGAATAACTTCTAAATAGTCTTTTTACATAATACAGCCAGGATGCCCAAGTGTCCTAAATGCACCAAGGAGGTCTACTTTGGTAAGCCATATTTATTACGTATTTGATACCTATTTTTTACGTTTTGATTAACATATTAACTGCAATAATCGTGACAAAGTTGAAATGGTTTATTGATATGTCTACTATGCCTTTAAATTTGTCTAGATGTATCGTGGTTGTTTTCGAGAAAGTGTTTCCTGGAATGCTTGCATTTAAGATAAAAAAAAAAACATCTATTTGTAGTGCTTTAGGACTTCTAATGCAGATTAATGTGTTTATTTTATTATATGTGTAAATATATACGTATTTTAAGCAAATAACATGCAATCAAATTTAAATCTGAAATGAATTAACCGACACAAACAATGAATTTAAGGTTGCAACTTATTCACTGGAATGTAACGTTTTTACACAGAACCGGATGTCTCAGTGCGGTGACACGTGACTTTATGACTTTAATAAGAGTTTCACTGGCTGTATACTGATATGCAGAGAGAGGAAATATGGCACTTGCAATTGATTCTATGCATCAATTTTCTATTAAAATAGGCCTATATGTCTTCTATTTGAACTGAAACAATTTTGAACAAACTACATTTAATATGCATGCTATTTAGTTATAGAGCTGACACGTATATAGTTCAAAGGAAAGTTTCTAAAAACTAGTGGTGCAATACAGTCGAGTGTAACTGAAGGTTTTCGTAAAATACTATTTGCCAAGCAATACTCGTTCCGCTTAGTCTTATCGCTACATATTACTGTATTAGCAGTTTTCCTGTTTTCACCTTCAATTACCTTCAATTCACACTCATGGTATATTTTGAACATTATTAGCTGATAATTACCGTAATAAAGCCCGTCGTTTTGTTACAGATCATATGCGAAACATTTAAAATTGTATGCTACGGGTCTTAAAATGCAGCAGCAAACTGCATCATTAACATCCCATAATTTTAATGTGGGCAACTTTGTGCGTTCCTCAGTCCCGGTTGCACTGCATGTCACAGATTCTTCTGAAGAAAACAGATCCCAGTTTGTCATATAGGAAATCGCTAATTAATGCTGCTCTCTACCGCAAAGTTAAATTTTTGAAACCCTCCCATGATTTCACTGAAAGATCGATAATTGCATGATAAAGGGGGTTATACATTTAGCAAATACCTGGAAAATACCAATCATTATATTCGGGCTACTTATCAGAGGGTATCACTGTTGGCTGAACAAGGCATATATCCAATCCATTACATACACAATTATTAGATAATGAACTCAATGCTATATTGGAACTAATATTGCTGTGCACGGATGTGACAGATTTTGAAAGCATTGCTACATTTTATGAGAGGTGGTCATTTCAGATGCATAAAGTAAAAATCCAGACCAAGACTTTGTTTCAACCATGGGCATTGTTAGGTCTGATCACTCGGGTCTATAGCCTAGAGTATTTTAGCCCCAGTACCCAATTCCTTCAAAAAAATAAAAAGTCAAGCTCCAGGTAAACTTGACTGTTCTTTTCAGTAGCTAGAAATGCCCCTGGTTTCAACCACCCAATCGAATACTCTGTGACTATGACTTTTCATACTCAACTGGTTGGTTGAAACTAAATCTTGGTCTGGACTTTTACTCTCTGGACCTGAAATCTCCACCTCTGCATTTTATATCTAGATTCTTGACAGAACTTGATCTGTCAACAATGGTATGCTAGATGCTTTGCTTTACTGACAATTCTTAATAAATGCATGTCCTTTTTTGATCTTCGTCACGCATTATCTAATCTTTTGTTTTCTCCTGCAGCGGAGAGGGTGAGCTCACTGGGAAAAGACTGGCACCGGCCATGCCTGAGGTGCGAGAAGTGCAACAAGACGCTTTCGGCAGGCATGCACGCAGAGGTAGAAACGTACAGTAGAGCTATGCAAAATAACATCAAATATGCACCAGGAATTTAGAAAAAAAAAAACAGTTTTGTTTGTGAAAAAGGTTTAAATATCAAAAAACATTCAGACGTTCTGTAACAGCAACTCTCCTTGTAACTTGTAACTTGTAGCTATATGTAATTATTTGTAAGTGATCAAAAGTAATCAGTAATTAAATACCTTGTATTTTTAAATCTACAGTCTGGAAGTTGTCCATTTTTTGATTAACTGTATTTAATGAGGTTTTCTTTCCCAGCATGACGGGAAGCCATACTGCACTACTCCCTGCCACTCTGCACTGTTTGGTCCTAAAGGTCAGTGAAACACGTGACCCCTTCCTCTCATTTGTGATATTCGGCTGACTCATTACACATTTGCCCAAGTGGCCCAAATAAAGTGTGATTTATACAGATCACATTAACTTCTTGTCATTTTTAAACAGAATATTACAAACGTATATCGGAAATATTTGTAAGTGGAACATTTTGCAGCCTAATTTATTTGAGGTTTGAGGTTTTAATAAATATAATATCTGCCTAAAGTCCTTATAAATGTATATCAGTATTGTTGTGTTTATCATGAGTGGGCTGTGGGTCATTGGCTTAGGATGCTGTATCTGTGATCAGCTGTAAGTACAGTTCTTAAAAAGCCACACCTCACACATACATATGATAGCATTGTAAATGCAGGGAAACTGGGCTGATTCTACATTATTCCATCTGTCCATCCATCCACCATCCAGGGCTGTGCACATTTTGAGGGCCAGGGGCTCAAGCATAGAAAACGGGCACCCCCCCTCCCCCCAAAAAAATAAACCATCACAGACATAGCAATGGTAATTACCAGACAATGGTAATGAAATCCTTAACTAATAATGAAGATTTTTTTTTTAAATACGAAATTAACACAATTTATTGGTTATCACACGTTTTATGTCCCTATATTTCTGATTTTGGATTTCGTAAAATTCTAAGTCTGTGTCTTTTAACTATTAAATGAACTATTTACATAATTAACTTAATGTGAGCATATATGAAACTATTTACATATAAGCTATTAACATAATTAACTTAGCAGCTTTTGTCCTCGTTTTGTTTGGCAGTGTCTTGGAAGACCTTAACTTCAAACTATGACAAAATTGTTTATTCTAACCAGGGGCCTGTTACATCGTGAAATTACTAAATTAACAAAACTAAGTATTTTCGACTCATCCTTAGCGTTGCCATCCTAGCTGTCATTGTAGACATTGATAAATTCACGTATATATTGTAACATTAATTTGCCATTCAAATCATCTATGTTACTAACAGAAGAATAATTCAAAAAGGCTATGTCACAGTATAGAATTCAGAGTTTTGGTGACGTCTATCCACCTTCAGAAAACAAAATGTTTTGTCAGTTTAGTGAGCAGAAGATCTCTAGCTAGAGCTGTCAGTTTCTATGTGGAAACATAAAGAATGTGGCAGCTGCAGCCTTCAATGTTAGGGAGCAGGGTTAGTCATGGGGGGACATTCGGGGATCATGTCCCCCCCAAATAAGCCATTGTGCCACCTTCCAGCACCCCCCACCCCCCATCAACAACTTTTACCCTCACCTAGGTCTGGGCGGTATATTGAATTTATATGGTATATCGATATATTTTCATAACGAGGTGTAGGGTAATACAATACCCTTTACACTGATATACCTTTAGCTTCCATCTTGACACTGCACAGACTCCCCGATTCCACAGCTAAAATCAAATTAATTCCTTTGGAAGCGAATCTCTGCAGGACGGAATAGTGGGCGTGTCTATGGGTCATTTCTATTGGCCAAAAAGGCTGTCAATAAACATCATTTCAGAAAGAGATCCCATATAGTTCAGGCAATAACAGATTAACAGATTTGTATAATTAAATGCCTGTTTTATATTTGTTCATAAAATGTAAGACATTATGCGCTTTCGCACTGAAGTTGCAGAACAAGTCCCTGGGCTTCTTGACTGGCGACTTTCGTAGCTTCTCTGCCACTTTCATGTTTTGCTTTCACACCACACAACAGGAACTAGGACCTTGATGCTATTGTAAATAGGCATAGGAGACGCAAAAAGCTCGTAGGTTAAACTTCACACATAATTTCATAGGAAACTGCACCGCAACCCCAAAACAATCTAGGATAAATAAGTCGTTTTGTTACTTATAATTATTTGTTAGTTATTTGTTAGTTATTTGGGGGATCGATTGCAACAAAAACCGGACACAGCCTTATATTTAAAATTTCCCGTTTATAATTTATTCTTAAGTTTCATTTTCCACAGAACAAAAAAACGTATTCTGTTTCGGCAGCGACAAAAGTATATCAATTATCTTGAATTTTCCGAAGCAGAAATACAAGACACAAGCAAGAACTTATTCATAATGGCATTAAATGTAACTGAGGTACAAAAATAATTCCATCTGCTTAATTTTTGCTCCACAAATTTTCCCTGCACTTCTGTGTAACTTCCAATGAACGCCAGTGATAGTGGTCAGCCAATCAGCACGTTGTAAGCGCCTCCCCAGTAGTTCATGGTTCGACCCACTATACCACACTCTATTCCTGTCGAAACACCCACCTTTCGACACGCCCACAAACCTTTCGACACGCCCACAAACATTTGGACACGCCTACAAACATTTTGACACGCCCATAAGCCGCTCGGCACACCCACAAAGCTTTTGCCACGCCCATAAACATTTTGACACGCCCATAAACCTTTCAACTCAGACATAATACTCTCCATACACTGACTACCTTGCAGAGACCTATACATGATTCACTTAGTGTCTCATGAAATTTGATGGAGGGGAAAGGTGAAGAATCTTTGTTACTTGGTACATTTTAAAACATTGACAAAAGGCTCACAGCTTAAAAATATTATAATTTGCAACATTTGTGTTATTTTGATGAGGAATAAGTCCAGCTGTGAAGTACCTTTCAGTGGTTCCCAGGCTTCTGTCATTTGCCAATTAGTTTTTGGATTGAGATTTTAGTTTTGTTTTTTTGTTCCTAGACATTCACTTTCTGTTTTACGAGCAATGTCATGAACCGATTTCAAAAATGCTGTTGGTAGACAAATTGGAGTAAAAAGGTTTTATGTCGCGGTAGCTTTAATAAATGGCATATAAAGGCATAATTTATATCCTGACACTTCTGTTTTCAATCATGATCATTTCCATACTGAATAGCTGTAATATATGTAATATATGCAAACAAGGAAGGAAACCATGTATTTGCATTTTGTTTTGACCACACTTTAAATAAAAGTGTTAGTGACATTTCACATGTGGCTTTGACATAAAATTAGTCATGTAGCCCATTTCATACAAAATACATTATATGTATCACTACTCTGTCTAAAAATGTCTAGATATTTACTATGTATTGCTATTCTGCTTAAAAATATCCTGATATGGGTTTTGGTCCATATCACCCAGCCCTACGTGAGTTGCCCCCCTACATTCCCTCATGCCCCCACCCCCTACCCCTACATTATTATAGACTTAATATTTTTGAATCAGAAGATGAATGTATAATGTTTGATTTTGGTTGAAATGGCAGCGTCCGTTGCTATTAGTCAAAATGATCCAATTGTATTACCATCTGGCATTATTACCAGGGTTTAGTGCAGATTTGAAGCGCTTGTTCAAACAAGATATTGCCTGAATGTGCAACCGCAAACTAGCTGCTAAGTTGTTAGTTAGCTTGCTAAAATGTAAGTGAGAAGAAGAAAAAAAGTAGGAAATGTAGGAAAGCAGGTGTTAGTTTTAAGTTTTGGGGGGGGGGGGGTTGACCAAAAACTGTTGTCATGGGTAACGCCCGACATAAAAGGAGCGAAAGTAACCTTGGTGGTTTGTTTTCCCCCTTTTCCTCATATAAGACATTCTAGTTGTCTGTCTCACTTAGCAAAGTTTTGCCAATGGGCCGATACAACGTGAACTTTTAGAACAGAACTGCCGTTTGAGATAACAAGCATATCTTAGGGCAAAGTACAATCGTAGTATGTAGCAAGGAATACTGAATGTTCTCATTTTTATAAACACCTATGTGTGTTAAAGTGTGTGGCTTATTGTTGCTCCGTATTATTCTTAATTAATAACTTATTAATAAAGATGGATTGCTAGAATGTCTTCTCAGAAATGCCATGTTTTTAGAGAAGCATAAGGCTAGGTATGTCAAGGCTAGGAACAGAGAGGGTACCATTGTTGTGCTTATGACGTACCCTTTTCCACATTAATGAATTTCCAGTAGCTTTTGAGCATTGGATTAATGTCTGTCCTTCTGCGTCATCTTCTGCAGGATTTGGACGTGGGGGCACCGAGAGTCACACATTCAAGTAGTGAGGTAAGGAAGCCGGGAAGTGACAGATACAAAGCATATTGATCAGAAAACAGTCAAGGCTACTGCCAAAAATTGCATGATTCATTCTTTTTCTCTACAGGTTATAACAGCCTAGAAGAGTTGCTTTAAGGAAGGGAGAAGGTGCCATACAAGAAACTTTATCCCCGTGTTTTTAAACCAAAACATCAACAAAATTTTTCTTTGTTGCAATTGTCTTTGCTCGTCATTCATTCATTTTAATTAACAAAGCTGGCTTTAATTATGCCCACTCGATTTCTCAGAATTATTTTGAAGGGTATTATAACAATTAATTTCTTTGTGTCCAAATAAAAATATTTGGCCATAAATGTTGTGGTTATAGTTTTCTTCTGTGTTATGAATTATTGCATATATAAAATTTACCAAGTAAAATTTCAAAATGCTTATTTGTGTTTATCAGACCCACAGGATATGTAGTATTGTACAAAAGTCTTAACCAAAGACACTAATGTTTAAATGATTTACATGTTGATATAAAACTATGATATTGTCTGTCAAAATGTGTCAGCTTAGCCATTTTAAAGTCTCTCATATAATCGCCTCAATATTTACAGCGACGGCTCAATACACCAATGTGTTTTTTGGCACAACCACCAGCACAACTTATTTGGCTAAACAGCACTTCATTGAGTTATTTACTTAAGTTAATTAACTGAAGTGGTAGTGAAATTTAGGAATACATGGAATGTCTGAGGTTCCCCTGAAGAGAGGTTTGGAAACCAAAGCAGTGTTCATCTATCTATCCAACTGGATGTCAATAATTCTTTGGAGAAAAGAAGAAATTCTTGTTTATTTTTCTAATTATGTTCTAATGTTAAATTGTGTTCTAGATAAGTGGCCTTAAACATTTTCTTTGACTGCCTAAGACTTTTGCATAGTTCTGTACCTAGCAACTCGATCACTACCAAAACTCTCAAATCGGACCGTTGGCGCTAACGCTGCTGAGTCATCTAATCATCAGATCATCTCGCTGGAGTTCACCGGTTTCTTTATTTCTGCTACTGGTTTTTCTTTGAATGGAGTTTCAGCCCAAGACTCCGCCTCCTTTTCCTCTTCAAAGTATTTTCATGGAGAGATTTCTTCTGTTGCTACAGTAAAATACACCTAAGCGAATTACTTTCTCAAACCAATAGCTACTGTGCAGCAAAATCCCCCTTGTCACAGGTTTCTGTCAAAATAATAGGCAGGACAAAGTGAGAGAAAGTAAGAGCCAAAGTTAAATGGGGAATCACCAACTGACTGCATTTATCCCCCATAAATCTCTGGCTTTAGTCTCCTGCTGTAAGAACTAACTGAAGTCTAATTAGTCTGCAGTTTAATGTTTTATACAGGTTCCACAAAAAAGTTACTTATCATACGAGGAAAGCTGGGGAATTTCCTGTTTGTTTACTGGTTCGCACTTCAGTCTGACACCTTCAAGGCCCAGCCGCCACCTCCAGCTCTCTGCGTGTGGAGTTTCCATCCCTGCACCCCAGTTTTGTTACTCCTGCAGTTACGTGAATAGTGATGGTGTGTGAGTGTGTATGTGAGTGTGTGCCCTACAATGGACTGGCATCCTATCCAGGGTGTCCCATGCTCCAGGTTCATCATCATCTTGTACCGGATTAGTGGCTGTGGAACATGAATGAATGGATTGAGATTGGTTGAACTGTTTAGCAAACTTTTTATACTAAAAAGTTTGCTTGGGGTGGGAAAAATGATCATACTAGTAAAAGTAATCCAAATAACCGGGATTTTGTTTCAACCAACCAGTTGAACATAAAGAGTCACAGTCACAGAGTACTCAACTGGTTGGTTGAAACAAAATCCCGGTCTGGACTTTTATTCTCTGGACTTGAATTATCCAACTCTGCTTATGGAAAATCAGTCTTGTTAGACTTTAAGCTGCAGACTTCCCAGAGCTCTAGACACAACTTAGCCAATAGAAGGAAGAGTGCAGTTAGGACAATAAGCATATAATAAAAAACCATGGTGCAGAAGACAAATGGAAGCGTTTTCTGCGATGTTAGGACATCTCTAGGTGCCAAGCTAAAATCTGTCGAATCTGTACCATCAACGACGTGTCTGGGTCCAGTTATACTAGTGCAGTGCAGTAATACTCGTTAGTCGGTTATTATTAAACAATGTTAGCTGTTATATTTCTGTAAATTAGTTGCATGTTAATCATATTTGGACACATGTAGCGCTTTAGCACTATGGAAATAATTTCCAGCACAGAAACTGACCATACACACTTAAAATTAAACCCAATTATCTAACAACTTAGGGTAATTTTTCCCAAAGATAAACTAAGACTAAAATATATAAACAGATATATAAAAGAAACATCTTATTTGTAAATGTATGCGTGTTTATCATAGTGAATACAGAATATTTAGAGAAGGCGAATGGCTGAAATGGGGATTTGGCAGACAGCTGAAAGATTTAGTGGTTTTGGCTACGTCTCAGATAGCCCTCCTCTCAGCTTAGAGAGGGTTACGCTTTGTAACCCTTCAGAGGTTAAAATATACTATTATATTTATTTTGTTTAATGTATTATCCAATTACAATCAGTTATAATTTGCATTATTTAATTGCAATTACAACAATGCCCCTAGACCAGTGTTTCCCAGTCTGGTCTGCCTGCAAACGGACAGACGGTCCCCCCCGACCCCCTGCCAGACAGACACTGCTCCAAACCCGGGATCATCAGCCTGTCAGCACACAGACAAACGTGGCTGTGCCAAGACTCGTCTGTGTCAGTTGCATTTTGAAGAGAACGTCTGTCAGAATTAGCCGCAGCGTTCATCCCTGCTCAAGACACAAAGGAAATGTTTCACAACTCACTGAGAGTCCTTTTGAGAAATAAAAAAGAAGAACTTCGAAGCCAGGGGTCTCCAACTCCGGTCCTGGGGAGCTAATGTCCAGCAGGTTCTCTATCCTACCTGGCTTCTGATGAGCCACACCTGCTCCTGGTATTTACCTGAGAACAGGTGTGGCTCATCAGAAGGTAGGATAGAAAACCTACTGGACGGTAGCTCTCCAGGACCGGAGTTGGAGACCCCTGTTATAAGCCATTTAAAAAAACATAAATTTTTCTTGCCCTTTGAATCATCAGAAAATCCACCATTGAGTAGGTAGTACTGCAATTAGCATTCGAAATAACCTAGCACAGCTGACTACCTGCAACAATGTTTTTCATTAATCGTATATAACTGCAACATCTGCAAGATTCATTTGCATATCTTACTGCTCATTGGCCCCCATCCAGTGGAATGTGCCCAGAGGAACCAACCAGGTGGTACTGGTATGAGATGCCAAACTCCTCCCTTAGATCTTCACACTTATCACTCTGTCATGTTCAGTGAGCCAAGCAACTATGTGGAGAAACTTGTACCATACTTTTCGTTTATTACTTCTACCCTGGTTCTTTTGCTTGTTGTTTTGGTCATTACCTCAATACTATAGTTGAGGAGATGGATGTAGGCTGACCAGGGGGGTGATGAGTGGCTCAGGGGCTAAGCCTCTATGCCTATAAGCCTGAGCACTGTATGCTGGTTGACCCCACCCCAAAGGTTCCCCCTCACCCGCCCACGTGTCTCAGAGAGAGCAAGATTGGGTAGGTAAAAAAAACAATGTACGTGTAATCATACTAGTATAAATGGCAAATAAAGGATCACTTCATTTAAAAAATACCATGGCTTAGTGATTAGTACTGCAACCTTAAACCACCTGGGTTGAAGATACAAATCATTCACGTGTGTGTAGAGCTTGCATGCCCTCATCTTGCATTTGTTGGACTGTGGGAGGAAAACCACACCGTTAGGTAAATTGGTGACTTCGCATTACTCAGAGATTGTGTGTGATTGTACGCCCTATGAGGCATCCTGATTGGGTGTGTGCTGGACTTCCTGGTTTAGGCTATACGGTTGCTGTGACCCTTTTCCAAATTAGCGCTTATCACAGATGAATGGATCTACTTTTGGACGTCTATATTTAATAAACGATAAAGCATCGACCTATTTTACGCTATATTTATGAGTTTTTAATGCTATTAATTTTTACATTAGACAAAGAAGCCTCCCCATGCATCTTAAATTCTCAATATTTTTTTCTTGTCATATTTGCATTTATTCACTGGTACCCAAGTAGTTGGTGATCATGTACAGTATGTAAATTGCATTGCATTGTAAAACATTTGTAAAACTTTTAAAACGTCTGTTCTCATAGAAAACGATGAAGCACTATCACATTGTATTGAAAGTACATTGGTAGTCTACATACTCTGGATCTTGTCTAGAAGGAAATCTATCTGTCAGAAACCAACTGCAAAAGTAATTTTGCAGCAAAATTGGATGTATTGCATATATTAGAAAAGGTAACAAGGGGACAAATTTCCTTTGAGTCAAATTCAGTTTCAAAATGAATAAGGTGAGATGATAACTGATAGAGACCCACTCAGTTTTCCAAAGGAGCAGGGCAGGCCTCCTGTGAGTTACTTGTGTTTTTGTAAATTACTAAAGTGTTGCATTCATTCTATACTCTTTTTCTATGTCCAAAAAATGCAATTGGATCTAGTCCGGCGTCATTGCTTTTGGGTTGCACGAAGTTTGGAAAAAAAGTTCTACTTCATAAGAAGAAGGAAATGATTTGATGCACCTACATGGTAATACATATGATGTAGCTGGTCCAGTCTGGTTCAGGGTTACAGAGTGCAGAAGCAGGTTATGGAGGATGTACAATAACAGGTTTGGCGGAGAGTTGATGATGCTTATTCTGTGCCAGGAGTAGTTTCCTGCCTGTTTTATAGGAACCTCAAAATGGGAGAGAGTTAGTGAGAAAACCCAAGAGTAACAAGGAAATGATGATCGTGTGTGGGCACACAGCAACACCAAGCAGACCTAATTGCTGTGTCTGGCCCAATGGCTGATTGATTGTTTGGGTTCAACTGAAAGCTTCCCACATGGCAAAAATTTAACATCATTTTAATACCTTAGATTCAAGGTTCTGCAAAGGATTAAAGCTGCACTTCAAGAATTATTCCATCGCGTCAATGAATTCCTCACTGGCTAATGCATGATGCTCAAAAGAGCTGTTTATAAGCAGCTACTTGTGTTACGAGATCACAAGCATACGATCATGAAGTGGAGAAGCACTGAGGTATCGGTGAACACAGTAAGTGCTGGTGCAACAATGCCCCCCTGTGTTTATAGTAAATATAAAGGCTGTCAACCTAGCTTGGTGATTTTCTCCTGATATCCCCAGGGCAAAAAATGAATTTACAATGAAATATTATGCTTAAAAGTGCATTTATATATAAGCATAATCATTTTCAAAATAGGAACAATTTCTATAAAATGAAAGTACATTTTAACGCTCTGCTTACGCAGTCTGAAGCCAATCCCTGAAAACACAGAGCAGGTGAGACTCAGCTACAGAATTGCAGTCCATACACTCAAATGAAGAATTACACACTGGGGGAAGTTATGGGCACAAGGCAGGGAATAACCCAGGATGGGGCACCAGTCCGTCACAGGGGGGCACATACGCACAATTCGGTGAATCCAATTAACCTCAGCATATTATTGGAACGTGGAGGAAAAGCAGAGCACCTGGAGCACATTCCACACACATGGAGCTGTGGCGGAGACTCAAACCCGGGTCCTGGAGATGTGAGGCAACAGCGCTAACCACTGCATCACTTATTCTGGAAGAATTGAAACGCACAAAGCAGTTAACTAGCTTGAGATCTTGCTGAAATGCAACAAATGCAAGCCCACTCACATCCGTCTAGCTGTCTACAAAAGTATCCCACACACATATTTGCCAGCTGTTAGGAACTGTAACTGACATTCAATGGCTTTGGCAAAAGGACATGCTTAACATTAACCTTTCCATTGTACATATCGTAGATACAGTTCTGCAATATTCTGACACATTAATACCTATTACACAATCAGTGTATCAATCTGGTAATAGTATGCAGATACTTTTGTAAAGCTTTTCAAAATTGTATAAGAAAGGCTCTGAGCAAGATCGTGACAGAAAGGTGATGAGAGGAGCAAACTGGACATTCATTTGTGGACGAGAGCAGAAACAGGTTTAACAAAATCAGCAGGAGAAAAACACACAGGACAGAGAAAATACAAAACACAGGCCTCCGTGTCTGGATCATGGAAGAGATGCTATTGCATGTGAATACAGTATGTTAGCTGAGAGGTGAGGGAACACAAAATCCAATCTTATGTGATGATCTGGGATTAGAAATATGAATCGTTTCTCAAGGTGTGGTTGAATTACAATGCAATTCTGACCGATGCTTCTGTCCCATTTGAATATTTTTATAGACACTTATATTGATTCTCTTTCGGTCTACTCCAACTTGCTCTCCATGACGCACATTTAGGTGAGAGGAAGCTTGACAGTGAAGGGCAGCTACAGCCCTCATGTACCTGGGGGTTAAGGGCCTGGCTCAGGGGCCCACAGACATGTGACTATTCTGCCCCTAAATGTAGGTGTGGAACATACTAACAATGGAAGCCGGTAAAAGTAACTAATCAAAGGCAGACTGTAAGCCAACTGAAAACGTCCCTCCCATGGAATCAAGACAAAAATTAGCTCCATTAGCTCAGGATTTGGATTTTTTTCTCAAAGTACTTTAGTGCAAATTAATTAGCGATAGCGGTTAAGAATCAATTCTGATTTTCCACCGCATGAATAGCCAATAAATGAATTTTTAAGGAAACATATAATTAAATAATTATTTTTTAAAAGACATTATGTAACTGATGCATTCTGCATTTTGCACTCTACCCATTCAAGAATCGAAATCCTGCCATAATTCTGTAGTGTCACGGTGTATTGTGATACATAATTTTAAAGCTATTGAAGATATCCAAGTACTAAAATATTTGGTATCAAAAGCTTCACAATCACAATGCTCGGTTAAATTATCATTACATTTATCAGAATTGTATACTGTGCATCATTTTAAAGAAAATGATACCTAATGTTTGTGAAGTAGGCAATTCAACACATAAATAAATGCAGAAGTTGTCATCTGTGGTCAAACTGCCCAATGCAATGCATGTTCACCAGAAAGAAACATGACAGACGAAGCTCAAGTAACACTGGACAACTATAATCCAAGAGAACAAGGGTATGCTTTTCCAAAAGAGCATAAAGACGCATAATGGCTCATCCAGCAAAAGCTTATGCGGCACATATAGAGCACACTGTGACACATCGCCAGAACACTCCTCCAACTGCTCTCTGGTATTACAGTGCCACCTGCCACATTTCCATATAATTTCCTGTAGTCACTGCCGATGGTCCCGACATGCAAGTAATGCTTGGGAGACGATTCAGAGCAAATACACAGCAGTGCGATTCGCCCTGGAGGTGTACATTTCTACAAACAGGAACACAGACAGCAGGAATGAAAACTTACCCCACGTTATGCATATAGATAACACTCCTGCAACACAGAGGTATGCTTGGCTATGCAAGCTCATGTACATACAATAAAAAAATATATATATATAATAAAATAAATCACAGGACACCACTTTAGTCATTTTTTTTTGTAAATGATCAGTTTTCCTTTTTATTATTCAAAACACAAGTGAAATGAAATAAATAATTTACAATGTAGTAAAAGTACTTGAGATAACCTAGCAATCTGAGCTTTTAGTGTGATGGCTTCATATGAAAATATTTCATATATGGATAAATATAATTCATACATACATACGAATTTATATAAATACTGGCTTCCGTCGTTCCCTTCATCACACAAGACTACGGCAAGGAATATTTGTATCTTAACAATTGCCGGCCAATTTATTTTAAATCTTATTTTATATTTAAAAAGTCAAAAAGCAGCACAACCTGTGACTCTGGACTATAAGAATAATTTTATATAGAGAGAGAGATAACATACAAAATGTAACCCCTGGGAAGGGTCTCCCACAGTAAAGACAAAGGACATCACAGCGAATGCTATACGTTATACACACAAACACATATTTCTTTGTGCATAGGCAAGTAAAACTAGAAAAAACTGAGTAGATCCATTCATCCTTTTCTCTGTAACTTTCCATCAAGGGAAAGACTGTATTCAAGGATGACTGTTGTCATGGAGACATGGTCCAGTAGGCCGGCTGCTGGAGTACAGGCCGGCTGCTTGGACTGGCTGTTTTGTTTTATTATTTTTTTTAAACTGGTCCAATCTTTGGCCATTTTAATATCAGAGGATCCTTCACCATTCCTGTGATTATAACAAAAATGGCCAGAGTGAAAAGCACAGGTCAAAATGTTTCCTTATCATGCATTACAGCAGAACAGAGTTGATCATACATCTGTAAGGGATGAGGTGAATAGACACAGTGTTTAAGAATTGCACAATTTTCACCAAGACATTGTATTGCACTTAATGGCAATTATTACCTTCAACGTTAAAACGTGAAACAGCTAACCAGAGTACAGCTCTTTATACCAGATGACAAAAAAGAACTAACAACTTAATATTTACCAAAAAACCAAATACAACATCATGATAACAACATAGCAAAAAACTGTAATAACAGCATCCACTTAAAGTTTTTGAATATAAAAAAGTCTGTAAAATTGATTGTCCTGTAAAGGTAAAAAGCATTCCGGATATCTAAAGCATAAGATTAAAAAATAAACACACGGGAAAATAGTACAGAATAACACAAAAACCCAAATTTGTTGGACACAGGGTTGTGCAAGCTTTTGGCTGTATTAAAAATATACATATAAAAATTATATTTAAAAAAATGAGGCCCAGCTGAGTATATGCATTTCATAGTCCTCTTGTGAGAAGCCCCATCTTTAATGGTCTGACAGCGGTCAACTTTGTATTTCATCAACTTTATTTAAATATATTATTACCAACAATATATTAAAATGAGTAAAGATCAGTCTGACATACAATGTGTGCCAATCCTAAAAGGCTCAGGATACATATAAATTTTGCTCTGAATATCAGTGCTGGATCAGACTGAAAGTGCTGAGGGGCTTGGATGGACTAGGGAGTGGCAAAAAAATACCGGGTCAGTGCCTTATGCATCCTGCAAAAATATGTATATATATATTATTTGCTCACACATTACAGTAAATACGGTAAAAAAGATGACATCTGAAAAGCCAAATAGAACAGTAGAATAAACATGGTGACCCAGTGTCTCTCTCCCCTAAACTCCAGCCTCATTCCCAAACCCAACCCCTCTTTCTTACAAGTGCACACGCACAGCAAGTCTGTCCCAAAATCCAGCGATAAAAAAACACAGAATTAGAATCTGTGACTTTATTCGCGAGTCGCCAGTGGGCAGCAAGCTGAGCATCTTCTTCCCCACGCGCCGCTTTCAGGCGAGCCTCAGTGCCAGTCTTCGTCGTCTGCGTCTTCCCCTTCCACAGAGGACTCGTCGCTGCTGTCCCCGCCGGCGTCTCCGCCGTGCTCCCTGGTGCCATTCTGTCCGGCCGTCGCCGCCGCTACCGCGGCTATGGCTGCCGCCGCCCGCTGCTCTGCCTCTCTCTGCCGCAGCGCCGCCGCCTTCTTCTCCTGCTCCGCGTGGCTCTTCATGTGCGCGCTGCGGCTCTTCACCTTGTAGAACACCCTGAGGGTCAGGGGTCACGACACGCCGTGGAGTGAGGGCAAAAAAAAAAAGTTGACGTCACAGCACTTTAAAAGTAGCTAAGCACAGAGGATTATTGTCGCAAACTATTTTAGCTGAGTTTAAAGATACCGTCACGGACAGCTCACTCACGTGCCGGACTGCTGCCTTCGCTTAAACGGCTTAGATACTTTTTTTGCTGTTCTCTGGCATTTTAGTGTTTATCTGTGAGATGCAGATCAAAGATAACTCCACAGCGAAATGACACTCTCACCTCTCTAAGGAAATCACCAGGTCAAATTCCTTCAACTACAGTTTGCCCTGCGCTACCACCGATAGGACTCTCTCTAGGTCACATTTCACCCCCCACAAACCAACATGGAGTGTCACCCTTCCTCACATCCTCACATGATTTTGGCCACCAATGCTGCTTAGTACAAACTAAGACCACTAGAAGTTACACACACATATTATATTCATTAAAAAGTACTGGAATAAATTGCAGTTATTGATGTCAATCGGCTTATTTAGCACTGCGTCTTCTTCTAGAGCACCAGTTCCCTAGGGTTGGGGAGGGGCATCGAGTCAGTTACAAATCACGACTTTTAAATCACTACGATTTTCAAATACCAATTTAAAAGTAGTTTACTGTAATTATGTGTGTCACATATTTGCCCAGTTGCACGCTGCGTGGATCTGTTAACGGACTTATATTTGTGGGTCTGCCACTGTGCTAGCATAAATGAGAAAGTGTCTGCAGAGACTTTTCCAGTGCCAAATCTGAGTCTGCAAAGGTAAACGCCACCAGCATTCACACGCACCTTTGCCAACACTCTGCGTTGGATGACCACAAACCGGCAGTTATGTGTAAAAAGCAACAACCCTTGACAACTTTAAACAGCAGCTCAATAAAGGTCTGTTAATGTAAGAAGGTACATTACTAAGGCTTTACTAAGGCTGTAATGGTACACAAAAGTTTGGTTAGCAGTCCGGTGCAAACCTCGGTTTGGGGGTCATGGCTTGCTGGAATTTCGGTACAGCCGGGAAACAGAATTTGTTCTGAAATTGTTTATCATTAAAGCTCCATGCTTGGTATAACACAGGCATTATTGGTCTTAATAACTCTGCAAAATCATGGTGAAACACCATCTGTAAACTGCCCATAGTTTGCACGTGTGGTCATGTGCCCAGCGAATGGCATTTCGCCCCCGCCTTGAGCCCTAATGCTACTGGAGACCATCTCCAAGTCGTCACGGATATATATGCAAAGGCAGAAGCTATACAAGCACCTTGACAAAGAAAAACTATAAGAATGGAAACCCCATGGAAATACAATACCTACTGAAAGTATTGTGATTTTACATGTATTATGAGCTAAGAGAGAACACGCCCTTACTAAGGACCCTGACGTAATTTAGGCTACCACAAACATGATATTTGGTGCGGGGGTTGCCTGAGTATCTGCCCCTTTTGCACAAAGAATTGCGGGCAGATTTGGCCAAGCGCATGTTTTCGATCACACCAATTTCTGGTCAAGCACCTGCCTCTTAAAAAGTCTCGCAAGTAGAAATGCGACACGGGGCTTGGATACATGCCTAACGATAAACAAAGTCGCGATTAGTTACGTATCCAGATACCTCCGCATTTGTGAAAGCCCCCCCCAAATTCCCCCGCACAAACCTGCCACATTTCTTGCAGGGAAACTCCCCCTCCGGGCCTTTGGCAGCACCTGGCGCGGTCTTCTTCCCCGAGTCAGCGCTTGGTTTTTTGGGTGCAGGACGAGGGTTCAGGGGCCGGATCTGGGACGGTTCCACCTCCATCTTTTCCTGCAGGCTCTTGTAGACCAGCAGGGCACCATCCTGAGAAAAAAACACCAGGATCTTGTTTTCATCCTTTTCCGTTTTATTTAACCCTGTCGTGCAGCATGGATTCATTTAACCTCAGGTCTAATCCAGTGTTGCTTACTTTAAAGGAGGTTGGGCAAACAGAGAGCTTTCATGACTGTTGGGGGGATTCAGGGAATGAATCGACCAATTAAATTTAAAAAATTGCTATGAAAACTATGAGAATCATTTATATTGACTCTTTTTCTCTGAAAATGTGATGACTAACAGCAAAACTCCTGGCTTGTTGTAAAGCAGCGATTATCAGTCATACTGAGAAAGTTGCACTTTCTTTCAACAACTTTCCTCCTCATGAATGGAATCAGCCTTTTAACTCCTGTCTGCAAGCGGACGCCAGTAAAGCGAAGCAGTTTCTCATTCAGCAACACATGCAATATGAACTGAAGGAGAATGTATCACAGCAGTGTTTTCCAAACCGGTCGTCGGGGACCCACAGACAGTGCACGTTTTTGCTTTATCGGGAGGGAGCAAAAATGTGGAGCGTCTGGGGGCTCCCGAGGACCAGGTTGGGGGATATTGATTTATCGCATGGCCGGTTTTCTAATATACGACATATTTCCCTACCTTACTAAACAACAAAAATCTTTTTAGGATGCGACCGATGTGAAAGTCAGCAACGATGTGACTCTTCATCAACCACAAATTTCCAGGCATAAGGCTGAAGGTTGCATGTAAAGCAGTGGAATGTATGCTGCTGCATTTTGACTGAACACAGAACAAGAGATTTCTCTTCTATCTATCCATCTGTGTTCCTCCCGCCATACTTACATTCTCAGACACCTGTAGTAGCTGCGTCACCCTCGCGGGGCTGCAGGCCTGCTTCCTGTCACATGACTCCTCCCAGTTCTTCCCTTCCTCCACCTTCATTGGTTTCAATTGCTGTGAGCTCTGTGAAAGGCCAGATATAACACTTTAGCCCACTGTAGTCACTCACAAGTGGCCATCCTGCTTTGGTGACCCCATCGCCCCCCCCCCACGCACCCTGACATCCAGCTCCACCTCCGCGGCCCAAGTCTCAGGGGGCTCCAGGTCTCCATAGACCAGGGTCCCACTGCGGCCAATTTTCACCTGTTTCTTATAGGTGTAGTAAAACTCCACACATTGTGCCACGGTCTTGGTGCTGACCTGTAAGCCAAGGAAGCAAAACACACAAACAGATCTTAAGACAAAAACAGTTAGAAGAGTAACCGCTTTCACCTATTCAGGTCTTATTTTGCGTGCAACCTAATACAGTACATAGGTTTCTCATAAAATCTTGTATATTTCATGAACAAATAACATAAAACACGTACTATCTTCTGCACCATGAAAAAATCCTTCTTGTAGGTAGCAATCCCTTTGTTGAACAACCGCCTCTCTGCTGACGTCCAGCTGTCACAGCCTGGGAGAGAGAGCGGTGACAGACAATGACATCACACGACTGTAAATGCTGACAATGAGGGTGACTGTTCAGCTTTTCTGCATTAATGTGCAGCGCAGACGGGCCACGCAACCCCCCCCCCCCATAAAACACAGGCTCACAATGAAGCCTCTGTGCTCTGAGCGGCTGCCTGAGACCACAGCATGGGATGATCTACAAGCCACCACACCTCCTCCCATCCCCTAGTCTGCATCTCCACCCAGACCCCAGCTCCTATTGTTTACGCGTGAATCAGGACCAGAACGTAGCTGTCGCCACACTGCGTTGGGGGGAAAAAACCCCAAACTAATGGGCCAAGTGCACCAGCAGGTGCACCAGCACCTGTGTGGCGTAAAAGAAGTGAGAGAGGAGTGAGAGCTGGACGAGTCACCTACCGGAGTAGTGATAGTCAGCGAGTGGGTGGGTCTTGGTGAACATGGGCTTCTGTAGCAGGAGCAGAGTGAGGGTCTCCTGTCAAGCAAACCAAAAAGTGACTGGATAATTCAACACAACAACAAAACCATTAATAAAAACGTTAATGAGAAAGCAGTGGCATGCCTGCCGAATTTCAATACTGACGGGAAGACGTCCGGTTTAATACACAGAAAAGTATGATGATAGACGTGGAAGATATCCCAGCTGTCTTCCATTTACCTCAGAGGTCAGAGTGCTTGCTTAGCTGGATAACTTGTAGGATTTAAGGTGCCCCAGTTTAAATGGCCTTTATCTTCTTTGACTTACATTTAGCCCAGACTACCTTAAATCTGACAAGCTGTCCAGCAAAGTAAGATATCCTGCTTTGTTCCAGTTCCAGCCAGGTTCACTGTTAGCCACTGCTTACAATACCAGTTCATAAGGAATTACACGGTATTCTGTGCATACAAAGACCATAGCAACATGTCCACACAAAGTGGATGGACAAGAATTGTGTGTACGACCAATTTAACGAAACACAAATAAGACATTAGTGCTAATAAACAGTATATAATTACAGTTAACTTCTGTTGATAAAGGGCACAGCCATCTTGAATTCTGTGGTGAGGGCTGCAGAGGTTCCTCCGACACTCTGGGTTGAAATTTCCGACCAGGAAGACTGAATTTCCGATTTCCGAGTTCAAATGGAATGCAGCATTACGTTATTGGCTGCAGAGGTCCCCAACCAAAAGTCAGGAAATATACAACTGTACACCGAGAAAAGTGTAAGTTTACAATTACACCAATACTGGGATTACAAGTTAATTTAATAAAGTTACAATTTCACTAGCGTTTTGACAGTAAAGAACTCATGATATAAAGTTCGACATTTATTAAAGATGATAAGGTTTTAAAAAGTTTTGCAAAAATTCCTGTTCCCTAGCCTACATTCAACGTGTCTGCAGTATTAGTTACTTCCAGAGAGGCATCCAAATACCATTAGACAACAAAAAACTATTTATTTATCAAATAAAATACCTTAAGTAACTTTCCCCAAACTCTCCTCAATATAAAAGAACAGGGTTTGTATTTTGCTATACTAAAAGGAATATCAAGGGGTACAGACCGAAAACCTGGAATACTGAAATTCTAGTGTACTGGAAAATTTCCAAAGTAGAGAAAGTGACTGAGAATGTGTCACTAATATTCCTGTTTTCATTTATTAAAAAATGATGCTCCAATTCACTTTATATTTACTTGTCATCATTACCCGCATTTCTATACTGTCACACAAAAAAAAACATGAATTTTATCTGGGAACTCAGGGGACCCCCCCCCGCGCCCGCGCCCCCGCCCCCAGCTATTTTACTGCACTAGATTACTAGTCATTGTGAAGTCCAGACACATCAGTTATTAGAAGCAGAATTCAGCGCAGTCTCTTTCTGTTTTTTTTCCTCTGTGCATACTATGCACTAACGGCATCTACAGGGAGGGATCTACACCCGGACTGAAATGCTGACCACTGTCCGCAGCAGGGACCAGATAAGCAGCCGTGTGACCCAAACGGTACATGATTCGACATAAAGACACGGCGCTTCATCAGTGTGGAGGGAGTGGGAGTGAAGTCGCATGCGGTCGGTCTCCTTGACAACTTTTGGGTGGGAGGGAGTGGCTTATGTTCCTCACTGGGGTGGGGGGGTGAGCAGTTTCAGTGGGCAGGCATGGTTTAAAATGAATACTTTCGCTACACTTCAGATTCACTTGAGTGAAATCTGAGAACCAGCCCTGCTGGAATCATCAACTGCACAAAGCCTGAGCGTTTATCTGCAGGCCTCCTTAAACAATGTAATCCTCTAAAAACGTCGTAGCACTCCATTTACAATATATACTCATATTCACAAGGCACCATGCCGTCAGATTAATGGCGCGTTTAATACCCCGCTTCATGTGACGCTTGGATAAACAGGGTCACAGACACAAAGCCTGCCTGCGCAGCTCTGTGAGTTTATTTGCATTTACAGTACAGCACTGGGGACTTATACCATAGTGCCCGTAGCTTCCCGGATAGGCTCTGGACCCCAGTGACCCTAAACAGGACAAGCGGTTACACAAAATGCATGGATGGATGGAACGCAGGGCTGAGTTAAGAGTCCCCAACATCTATGACGTCCAGATGTGGCAGGAAAAGGTATTGAAGCGCAATCAGTATGAATTAGCAGCCCAGCAGCTCACTCACCAGAACGTCCCCCTTGCACTCATACAGACCATGCAGCGCCAGCTCCTGGTTTGTCCCCCCCCCAGGGAAGACGCTGGAGCAGGCCAGGTGCATCAGGTCATCCACTACAGTGCGGAACGGAGAAAGGCAGGAGAAATGTAAACGGTTCATGGATCAATGTCACAGACATTAAAAGAGCAAACACTAGTTTCTGAGGACCCTGATACAGTGAGGGCTGGCGGATAGTGATGCGGCCACAGAACCAAGTGGAGAGAGAAAGAATCTTGGCTGAAGTTCTAGGAGTGGGTGATGACACATCTTATAGAAATATGACTTCCAGCCGATAACACATAGGTACGGTGTAACAATGTAACAATGCAGAACTGATACAATCGTCTGTGGCTTTGGAACACAAGACAAGTCCCCGTATGCCGTGCTGCTAGCGCTAATGCTATATCAGGCAGCAAGACATAAAAGCATGTTGTGAGGAGTGTCATTACCTCGCGCTGGGTGGGTGGATTCTAGCTCGTGCTGGGGCGCCCACACGAGTTCTGCCCGATGCTCGTCCTGATGGGCTGCTGCACGAACTCGCAATTCTGGCACCTCTGCCTGGTGCCGATTTCCAATGTTTATCCGTCTGAACCGGGGAGAGATGAGTTTTATATTTGTTTTAGGGTTCTGTTTGTTATGAGTACCCGGTGCTACAAAGGCGAAATGGGTCAAAACACGTCGCACCTGAAAAAGGCTAAAAATTACAAGCATATATGCTGAAATGGTATCATATTCTGCGTAACTTGCCATCCTGAAACTGAAAATTGAACTTCTTCCAAAAACAATTTATATATGACAAAAAAAATGTAAATGCAGACAAAAACATCACTGTTTACAATGGCAAAACACAAACAGGCCAAAACAAGGATAAGCTTAACAGTTGGTTAGATGACTAATTGGTAGGGGAAAATATTTCACTCATACCAAGCATATGACTATCATAACCTCAGGATGTGCCCCCCCCCCCGCCCACTCCCAAGCAATGAGAAACCACTAACCACTCTTTTAGACAAAATGATTTACATGTACTGTACCGCACAGTTAATCAGATTAAAATAAACGGTGTTCATCGATACATGCAGTCCTACAGAACCTTCTGTTTCCTACCCCCTGTTTAAACTGCAAATACCTTTTTTTAAATACCACACAATTATTAGGACCCCCCAATGCACAAAAATCTCATCACCAAGGATTACAGCAAATAAGCTGAAATCAAACAATAAAGCAGGAGCATACTGATCTCACTGCAAAGCCAGTGGACAAGCCTTCGCAGTGTTGCATTATGATCTGATAGATCTTTATATGTGAAAACTGTACATTTTCCAGTGCATTATTTCACTGAAAAATAAAATCAACTACACGACTTTGCAAATCAGTGGTGAATTGTTTTTAATAAATGAAAGTTTCATATCCAGTTTATCACTCATCACTACAGTTACTTTAATACCAAGGTGCAGTTAAATGCTAACATTTAACTGCACCTTCGAATTTCCTTCAGCATCAATAAAGTCCTACTACTACCTTAACTGTATTAACTGCCCTTTCTATTGCATTTACTGCACCTTGTATGAGATACAATACCACAATGCTTACATATACTTCCAGTGACATCATTCTTGGGCAATATCAATATCATTCAGCATCTTCAGTGCAACAGCTCAAATATTTTTTGTATTTCATGTCCCATACATGGTTTGTTAAGTTTTTTTCTATATTGCACTCTGGTAATATTTCAGCTTCTGGTAATATTCCATGTTTAAAACACATGCCAAACACAGAAACACAGGTTTCCAACCATCCCATGCGTGATTAATCCAAAGTTATTTATTACAAAATACTTCTGCTACTCCAATCGCATTTACTGACCAATTATTTCCCCACTTTACTGAATATTCCACGCTACCATGGCCAGATGCACTGTACATAAACAGAAACTGACCTTCTCACCCTGGGTGATACTAGCATGAGTCAGGTAACTGACACCAAGCACACTGACTTGTGGGAAGGAGGCGGTCTACCGGGCTGACATCACTAACTGCACTGCTATCAAATTCTTAAAATACAAATTTGTATTGGAAAAAACGATTAAGAAATATTTATGATTTGTGTGCGCCTTAACACCAAGTGTCTTCAACAGATTTTTCCGGAAGAGGGTAAGAAAATTTTAGTATATCAAGTTATTTGGAATGGCAGTTTTGTTCAGGTGATCCCGTATTAAATGACTTATTCAGCAGAGAACCTTAACCAAGAGAGAAAACCAGCTTTTTGTTTCCTGAACAATGCGGATGGTAGCGAATTAACCACACTGCTTCCAAGTTGCCATTCCACATGCTACAATGCTCTGATGTGAAGTGAGTCTCACTGCAGGCTGAAAGCAAAAAACAAACAAAAATACAAACAAACAAAAAAGCAGAAGAAGGCAGTGAAGCCCCCAGCAAAGTACGAGTACTTTTACCCCAGCAGAAGAATGAAACAAATTACGCCACAAACTGTCTCAGCTAACCGGCGATCTGAATGAGTAAATTCACAAGAAGTGGAACTACGGTCTGAGGCTAGCTTACTAATGAAGACAGTCTTAAAAACGGCTTGAGAGATGCAGATTGTAAGGTGAATATAGGGAATACATGAACAGAATACAACCCTTTATTTATAAGTAATAGATGTTAAATTAAATCAATAAACTATAAACGGACCACATGATCAACATACTACAAGAACTATGATGTTGTATGACTCAAAAAAATTAAAAAAAGGATTACGGGAAACAAAATTGCATCAAGGAGGGAACAGTACTCACGGCTCAATGCTGACTGGGGTGGCCTCGTTCACTGCACACAGCAGTGGGGGTGTGATATCACAACTGCCTGGAAAAGAGAAATGGACGCTTTTTTTTCCTGTGTTTTGCACGCTAAATTCATTCTGGAAAAAGTGATACGTTAACATGAATGAACGAATGTCAAATGTCGCGGTCATCTGATACAAAAGAGAAACACAAAATGGTATTCCATAAAGTTCCGCGGCTTTTTAAGAGAGATGACAGACACTCACTGGAGCGGAGCAGGCTGCGTGAGGCAGATTTTGGGGTCGCCGGTGGGGGGGGGCCCAGGCACGGGGCGTTCGCGACGCCGGAGGACATAAACGTGGAGAAGTAGAGGCCGGAGCCTTCCCGCACGGGACTGAGGATGGGGGGCGGGGTGTAGGGGGGCAGGGTGATGGGGGTGTCTGCCAGACGTACAGGTGAGCGCAGGTGGCTCTGGTAGGGCGTGACGTTGGAGTACACAGGAGGGGCGATGAAAGTGCCGGTCTTGGGCGAGGGGATGAAGAGGGGCTCAGGCCGCGGTCGCCGTCTCGTCTTGGCTGCTTTCCCATCATCGTCTTTCCCTCCTTCCCCTTCACCATTCTGTACAAAAATCAAATGTGAACCAGTTATGAAATAGTATTCATGTAATGTAGCGCACATCGCAAAAACATCCACGCTGCTAAAAAGAAGTCTGGGCGCATTACTGCAATGTTTCTCAATCCACAGACCGTCGACATTTCAGCTCCAGCCGGGAGCAAAAACATGGACTGACTGTAGGTCCCCGAGGACCGGGTTGGGAAACACTGCAGTAGTGCACTTTCGGTTCACTACTCAGCTTTGTACTGCACCGTGACACGTTCTGTGACACCAATGCAGTGCACCTTCATGTGTTTTTGGCTAGGCTGTGCTGTGGGGTAGATGTGCACAGCAGACATTCTTCATTTACCAATGAAATGACTGCTAAATATCATGTAGAACAATTCCCAAATGTTTCGCTCGAAAGTGGAGGGAAACCTGTACATCATGCAACATTGTGGCAGAACACAAGCATGCAGCCATTTAGAAGGACTTGGACTTTGTTTCTCAAATAGCCATGAAGCATCCATATTAAGCCGATGCATTGTTTGCTTTCTGCCAAGTTGATGCATTGTTTGCATTCTGTAAAATGGACACATTTGCATTTGAAGCTGATGCATTGGTAGCATCCTGTTAATATGCCTTTGCTGTTCTATATAAAGTTGAGGCTTTGTGAAGAGAGATGGACATGTAACATGTAAATTAAATCTACATACAGCAATCAATGGGCACTTTGGAAATTAAACTATTTTCATAGACTGTAAGTTTACAGTCAAATTAATGTAATTTCATTTCATAATTTCATATGCTGCTGTTGTATATATAAACTGAGCTTATTATGCAGCCATAATCAAAAATGTGCACCAAAATATGATCGTTGATGTGCTATAAAAAGAAACACAAAGGAGATTATTAAATGTCTCTTTTGATTGGTAGTAGCTTTAAATATTTCCTGAACTCACAATTTCGTCAATTTGTGCACATTTTCCACACAAAAAAAGCACACAGGACTCCGAAAGATGCATAACAAATTCTGAGAAAAGCAGCTACAAAATCAAGCGTTTTTAGCTGCAGCGATCACAAGAAAAACGAATCTCTGAAAAATCCCACAGAGACTGATATCCGTAATTGAATCACACATCTAGAGACACCAGGTGGGAGGAAGGAAAGTGTGTTTAATGAAAGGTACTTGTTTGTTTTACAGAAATGTGGCGAGCAGAAGAGTGGAAGCCCATGCTAACTGTGATAGGAGCTGACAGCAGGGAGGGCAGCGTACCTGGCCAGTGCTTTCGGACAGCGAGCTCCTCAGAGAGCGCCGACGGGTGACAATGACAGATGGCTTGCGCTCGCATTGGACCGGTTCGTGTAGCGGCCGCTGGGTCCAGCCACTTGGCGGTTTTGCTGGCTCCTGATCGGCTCGACGTACTGGCACAGATACGGGCAGCACCAAGGGTAGCATGCTCTCCTCACGTGAACGCTTGGCGCTTGCCCACTCGTCCTCTGCAATCCTTCTGTCGGGGCCTTGTGGAGCCGTGCTGGAGTTCCAGACCTTCTCTTGCTCCTGCTGACAGATGAAAAGCATGGCCTTTTTCCTCCAAATCAGCTTCTCTACAAGTGAACTGTAGGATGTCACAACAGTCCATAAAAAACAGATCTGACAAGCAGTTATTGAATAGTAAGTACTACTGTACAAGAAAGCCTTCAACAGACATGCAAATTAGGTGGGGTCCAAAAGTTGTAGACCACATTGAAAATCCGAGATTTTTCCATTTAACCCTGGATATAAAAGTTTGATCATCGGCTAAGACATACCAACATATAGTGGATTATTGGAAAGAAAGAAGTCAAATTTACTGATGAGATCAAGTTTGAGATTAATGGCAGTAACAGAAGAGTTTATGTAAGGAGATGAACAGAAGAGAGACAGATATCACACAGTGGCAGAAATATTCATGTCTGGGGGTATTTTGATACTCTGGAGTTGGACCCCTGCACTGAACAGACTACACCTAGAGAAAGGAAAGGTACTACGCCGTACTTCCGAGCCATGCTATACCTGCTGGCATGGATCTTTGTGGAGGATTCACAGATTTATACCTAAGCATGACAACCAGCTCAGACATACCGCAAAGTTTTTGAAGAACTCAAGGCCAATCCATACTTCACTTTTCTGCGTGCACTTTCGCTTGGGGACATGACGTAGATTTTTGGCAGTTTAGCACTGCGGTCGGTTGCATGTGTAGCGCAGATTTTTACATCTAGTGGAAATCTTTCACTTCCGTGTGCTTCGACCACGCATGTGCAAGATAATCGATTAGGTATTTCCAGTAGGCGGCAGCGTGAACATTCACAGATCAGAGGTCAACAGCGAAAGAGTAGAGGATAAATAGTTGCTGTTGTAGTAGTAGTTATGGTGAGCAGCTGTATGAGGAGGATAGGAGGTATCTGCATATCTAATTTTTCATACTGTCCAGACATTATACCGAGTTATACGGTATTTTAAATAAGTTCCCATATTGCAGCATTTTGAAATCTTGGCCTTAAAATTTCCTTGGGGTGGGGGGTTAGTTTGGGTCCCAGCTAATTTTGTTGTGAGGATTTCAAAATACTGTAATATGCCTTATTACTGCAATACTGCCCAAGCCTTGACAAATAACTGTTCATAAACATTTACCCGTTTCACTGCACTGCTTATATTTGTATTTGTTGCAATACATCTGCCCTCTACTGGTCTGGTGGAATATCACTGCTGTATGCACATACAGCCGGCGACCATCCACATCCGCAACCAAGCGTAGTATGAACACGAGCTGCCACGCGGACAACTGTCCCCGGCCCAAAATCGCGGAAATGGCGGAATGTGGAAAAGAGAAGTATGAACTAAGCTTTAGAAGAGCAAGGAGTTACTGAGTGTCGTGGTCTTTACGCCACAGCCACCTGACCTCAACCCCACTGAACACTCGTGGGAGCATTCAGAAGATCACAAGATGCTCTCTGGAACATTCTCAGATCATGCTGGGGTAACATGGATCATCAGGTTTTAGGCAAACTTGTGGAGTCATCGCCAGCTCAAATGCACTCTGGCGGTGAAGCAAAAGCGGCTATATCAAATGCTAGGAAATTCTGGAATTCATGTAAACTTTTTCAGCAAGAGCAGCCTCTGGCAGTCCTGATGTATACAAGCTCCATAACTGCTTTTCACACAGTTACATTTCCTGATCCTATTCCTGCAGTCTTACTTTGTACTGTACACACCAGTTTTTATCAACCTAGTCCCCGGAGATCCCCAGACAGCACACATTTTTGCTCCCAGCTCTCACACACTTGTACCAGGTATTCATTGTTCTAGATTAGCTGGGAGTTAACAGTAAACAAAAGCGTAGACTGACTGTGGGTCTCTGGGGACTGGGTTGAGGAACAATGGTATATACCATACTCCTATTTATCTGTAAAAATGACATCTTTTCGTAAGTACTCGAGTTATTTATTGTTTATGTTTGATATGTACCTACTGGTGTGCCACTTGTGTTTATTTATATAACTTAGCCTTATTATCTGCAGACAAAGAAATGTCCCTGAATAAAGGTCTTACACAAAATATTCCATCTGAAAGATCCTGCTTTCTCAAATATGCACAAACACTGCTCCTATTTCCTGAAAAAATACAACAAGTCACCAATTTGACATAAAAAAGCCATCATGCCCTGTGGAAGTTCTAAAAATAGATTTTTAAGGGAATTGAAGGAACACCATCTTAGGATCACCTAAGAAAGCTGTAATTGGTGTTGCAAGCAAAGAGAACGTAATTAAAGTATGACAGGAAACCACTTCAGGCGGATGTAGAACAAGCTGCTTTTATGGAACGAGTTGACACCACTTCTGTTAAAATATTCTATAAAATATGATTTAAGTGGTTAATGTCATGCTGTCTTCTGGTGTCTCCCACAACATGACCTGATGACTAAGTTGAGACAAGAAGTGGTCTGTATACATTTTACAGAGTCCGAAGCATTTAAAAATCTTTGGGATTTCCCCTCTATACAAACTGAATGAATATGAACATTTGCATTGCTGTAGAGCAGAGGGACTTTCAGGTTCGGTGAGGGCTGACAATGCCGTTCCACGGTCATGCACAGAAGACAGCACCTGTGCTGCACTGAGCTGCACTAAGAACAGTATTTGATTGGAGGAAGTGCATGTTTGGTGAATGTCTCTAGTATTCTGTTCCCCAATTGTGTCAAGGTTTAAATGCAAGAGGAAACAAAGTCAGCGTATTGCAAAAATTTGCTTAGTGCGGCCTTTGCTGCCCTAATTGCTGGGTTAGTTTTACTTTGCTAAGTACCAGTGCTGTGGCATTATTTCGAAACAATGCCGTTCTCACACTGGTATGACACAGGCTCGGGCACTGATCAATTTCTTAGCTAGGTGAAGAAAGTACCTTAAAATCCAGCCTAGGGCGGCATCCATGCTTAAGACAGAGCCTCTGCATGCCTTCGATTTAGCAATCACCACCTTTTAAGGCTGATATGGTTCAGTGCGCATATGTGCATTAATTTTCATCCCATTGCAAGCGAAATATGCATTTATCTGTACATCCTCACTTCCTCTCTCTCAGAGTAACAAAGCAGAATTCTTTCAGCAACACCTCCATCCCCTCGCCACAAGCACACACTGCAAAAAGGAAGAGTGCCAAGTTTCGGATCGCATTACTAGGGCATTCTGAGCTCTGCATGTTTCCAGGCTGCATAATGACTGAAGCAACAGGTTCTGAGATGGATAACTGGGCTTTAACGGTACTTGATGCCATTTAAAGCTATACAGTGAACCATTCCCACTCCGGGTATTCCTCAAAATAAATCCCTTGCATGCTTCACTTTCTTATAAATATTACATAAGCCAGAAAGGTTACCGTCATGCTATGTGAAGGTAAGGACTCCATCTCTGATGCCTTCTGAGCCAGTGTCTCCAAGTTGACCTCCTGGGAAGCTCTTCTCTTTCTGTGCGTGCTCTTAATCACTCCCACCGCTGCAGCCTGCATTTCCTCTTCCATCAGCACTTTCACTCCTTCAGCATTACCATTGAGGGATCCTTGGGTCCCGTGAGCTGGGCGATTGCCGGGCATCGCGGCGGCTGCGGGGGCGCCCTCCTTGGAGAGGCGACGGGACCTGCGGGGGGCGGGCTGGGGCTCCTCGGAGGGCAGCTGAGGGTTGGATGAGAACTTCTGGACATCAGAATCCAGACACTCTGCAGGAGGCTGGGAGGCAGGTTCGTGTGCCACAGTATGGGAGCCTAGAGCTTGCGGGGGCTGCTGCTGAGGGTGGGGGTTTGTGTGTGCACTGGGCAGTGATGTGCCGGGGAAATAACTGAGAAACTGCTGGTCTTCTTGCATTTCTTGCTGCTTGTGCGGAATTTGCCGCTGCCGCTGATGTAGCTGCTGATTCTGCAGCAGCTCCTGTTGCTGAAACTGATTTTGGAACTTTGGCTGCCCGCTATAGTTCAGGTTGGGCAACGTCCTACTGTCCTGGAACACCTGGTAAAAGCCGTGGGAGAGGGGCTGCTTGGGCTGACCGAACGCCACCTGGAAGGGCTGCAGCACAGAGCTGGTCGCAGCACGAGAGACGGCGAGGGACTGGCTCTGCAGGACCGTGGCATGGCCCTGCTGCACGGGGACATGCTGGAGAGAAGCCACCGCTTGCTGCTGCTCCCATTCCACACCCAGGGCTTTGGCAGAATCCCTGTAGGTGTTGAGGGAGTTGGCCAGCTGCTTCTCCGCTGCTCCTCTCTGCTGCTGCTGCAGAGGCTCTTCGAGTAATGACTCGGGGTAAGCAGGCTGCATGCGTGACTCATTCATGTTGATGCCTCCTAAATATGAGGCAATGTTTTGACTCCAGGAGTTGATAGGCACCCCCCGAGTCCAACCCGGCTGTCTAGACGAGTCCGGCTGCGTCCATTTTATTGGAACAGTCTGCTGGTAATGCCCTCGTCTTTGCTCACCCTTATCGGGGCTAAAGATGACCGAGTTGTACACATGTGACCCCTCAGAATGGGAAGCCTGACCTGGAACGTCACTGTGCACCGATTCCATGGAAGGATTTTCCAAGTCATAGAAAGAGCCTTCAGCAGCTGAGTCCTTTTTGGCCAGACCCTGGTCATTAAAGAACGAGATACGCTTCCCTGTCCTTTTGGGGTTAGCCTTCGGCTGAGGCGGCAGGCTCATGGCTAAATCATCTACTAACAATGGGTAATCCCAAGTTTGTCGGGAGGGGGGGGAGGTCGAGGAGGAAGAGGACAGGGTGGTTTCAAAACCCAGTCAAAAAACTAACGCCGACTAGTCCATGGGTTTGCATATGTTTGTGTCGGTGCTTGTTTAGCAGCAGTGACAAACGAGAAGCCACCACCAAGCTCCACGGCGGAGAGGGCCGGAAGATGGGGGATCACACCCCCTGCTCTTCCAGGGTGGAAGAGCCGGATTGAGATGTCTGACGGTCCCCTTGTGCCTTTCAGTCATGAGTAACACCCTGAAAGGGAGAGACCAGGCGTGAAAGGGTTAGTCAGAAGCGTGGACACAGTCCCATTGTGAAACCCCAGTATGTAAACTGCTCCTTTTACTTTTAATGAATGACTAATCACTGAGACTTAGGGGCGGGCAATATAAAGAGAGCACATTTAGGCATATACTGTAACACACAGCAGCCAGCTGACATTAGAGATTAGGAAAAAATGTCTCATTTCAAATAAAATTGACACTTTAATCCCACCTTTACTCAAACCAGTTGAATACCTGTAGAATCCTATCACATACAGCTAAAACTGATCTATTGCTAACTTTTTGTGATTTGCTAAATATTACAATGAGCAGAAGGCCTGAAAATGTAGGAAGCAGCCAAACGCAGAGGACTAATCACCAATTTCCGTTATACGGTGATATTCTCCTACTTGATAATTTGGGTCTAATGCATTCGTGAGTCGCAAAATTATATCACTAATATTTAAAGGTTTGTGGTTTATGGCAAAGCCTTAAAGATTTAACAGGGAAAAAAAAAAGTTTTCAAATAAGTTGAAAAGCTGACTACGCTGAGCATTAGAAAACCACAAGTTGCACAACACATAATGTTATAACAAGTGAATAACTGTGGTTCTCTAAGGTGTTCTATAAAAGCAGCTTAGTACTATATAAATATTACCACATAAAATAACCAATAAATAATGTGATCGATTTTGATCAGAATGATTTTGAACAATTTTGATAAGAAGTAATTAACGGTTTTGACTTTAACAAGTCAAAAGGCAACATTTAAAAATTCTACAAAAACTTGCAATATCATACCACTGACAGCACAATTCTTGACTGTTTGGGCAACAAATCAAAATAAGGTCAGACTTAATAGGATAGCAGTACCTTTTTTCCCCCCCCCCCGACAATATTTTCTGTATTTCCCAATAGAGGCACTGTTGTGAGTCCTGCTTCAATTTACACCCCGTAACAGTTTTATACACGCCAAGATAGAGGTTGGAACATCTCCATGGCAACCACACATCACTTTAGATGGCATTTATCTCTGCACTCTACCGTTCTCTCTTCATGAACGCAGGCATCGCTGCCGTGGTCCAGAGCTAGAAAGGAGCCAATTATCAGTAATCAATATTTTTTTATTTGAAATAGTCTCAGTAGCTTAATTTAATCAATGGTGCTCTGGCAACATGTGATAATTTCCATTTCACGTCTGTTGTATAATGCAAGTAGACTAAATCGTAACAACCACCACCGACGCCGGGAGTACGCTTAAAATATCACAATTACCGTATGTTACTGTGTATTTTCATGGAAAAGGCCAAATTAAAATACAGTTGCATCTAACACTGCTATGCTGCACTGCATATGCAGTGATGGATGGATGGATGGATGGATTTAAACCTATAGCCACTTTGGGTACAGCAGAAACCAACCACCACCTTGGTATAAATCTGTGGCAAAACTTATATACATTTCCATAACATCAAAAATGAGCATATATACAATACAGTGAATCTCATATATCTGCAAAGTAATGGCACACTGATAGCAGAGAGTGTGTGTGTGTGTGTGTGTGTGTGTGTGTGTGTTACTTAGTCTGACATTTCCTAGAACCAAAATCACTAGCACACAAAAATGCAATGGAATTCACACTTTTCTCTGCAAAACCAGTCTTCTTGTCTCTCATGCAAGTTTACGGCAAATTACAGCTCTACACACAAACCCTAAATGTTTAAAATGTTACCGGATGATTCTAATCTACTGAATAAAACAGCCATGCTTTATATCTTTGTTGATACAGTGTTTGTCATAGTGATCACACTGAAGGAATTTTGAAAGGGATTAACGCAATACTATTTACAACAGCTATTAACAGTAATGAGATTGAACACTAAGACATAAAATCAGGCTGAAAGGCAGTAAATGCAGATAAACCCCCTACTCAGCACACCTTCGCTGTGCTAAATGCCCGTTATGAGAAGTTGAATGTGCTGTTTCGGAAAACCGACTGTAAACTACAATACAAGTGCTCATTTAGAAGACCTGTCACCACGTAACAGTAAAAAAATATTGCCGAATGATTCAATGTTAACCAGTCACAGGATACAAAAAGTTGCAAAAGCTATAGTTTTAACCAACTGCCAAACGCATTTAGCGATAGCTTAAAACGTCAAGAATAATTAGGTAATCCTGAACAGATCCTTATTAACCAGGATACAACGCATACTGGTGACATCATCGCTGGGAAGTACATCGCATTTGACAAGATACCGTGACTCCCGAATAGAAAAACACGCTGCACACGACATCACATCGACTGCTGCCCCCCACCCCACCAAAACACAGCATTGCAAGTCAGCTCAGCGCAATTTACGAGAACTCCTTTGTTGCAGAAAGGGGATTATCCGATCACTAATACCCCATCATACGGCAATATAAACAGTACAGCAACAAGGAACCCATTATGGGGACGAGCAAGCTGCAAAATAACCCATCGAAAAGGTGTAGAGAGCGTGCGGATTCCTCATCTGTGGAACTACGTCACATACTTAAATAGATACAACTTGCTGGTTTAGCACAAAAATCTTCAACTGTAGCATGTGGTAGTGTAAACAAGTACAACGAACATTATGAAACCGTATATCCAACACTGACTATCCAGGCGGGGCTATCAAACTTTGCATTATTCGTCTTCTACTTGTACCGGGCATATCAACATCAGCACATTTTTACAGTTACGACGGTCAAACGGACTTACCTTCATTGCAGTGCTCCTCTTTAAGTCCCTAGTGCGCTCCTCTCAGCACAGAAGGGCAATGACTGCATGCACCTCAAAGGTTGAGTCATGCTGATCTGACCTCACAGTATTATTTTCCCCTCAAGTGAATAGAAATACATACTGCGCAGAAATAACTGGAAACATGCAATTGAAGCCGAGAAACAATTTTAAAATACGCATTAAGTTGTTACCTTAATGCATATTACTACTCTTTAAGTTGCAATAAACGTATACACCGAATCACACTCTGCTTACACGTAATCTACTGCCGTTTTCCACGGTAACTGCTCACACAGGAGCCCTATTTTTTGTTTCAACTGAGGTCTTGTGATCCGGCCCAGTCCGTTCGCCACGCCTACTTCCATGTCCATATAAGGCTCTTCCCTTCCATGTGCAGTTACTCCGAATTACCATGAGTCCCTATTGCCTTCCAGCGAGAAAATTCCACCAGCTACAGCCGTTCAAAAACTGAAGGTAAAATCACTTGTTTGTTTGTTCCTGCGATTCGTCCCGGTAATTTTAATTCTATATGATAAAATCCCACCCCGAGTTACACTTGCATAGTATCAGAAACAGCTTTTTAAAGCATTATTAATTTCAAAACCAAAGGCTTATTTCAATCAAGCTGCAATTCTTGAAAAAACCACAATGTTGATCTGAGGAACACAGCCTGAATGGTATTGGACGAGGTGCTAGTTTGATGATGATGATGATGATGATGATGATGACATATTAATAGTAATAATACAGATAGGATTGTGACAGTTATGACATTTTAAGTTTAAAGAAGTATCTAGCTAACATATTATACCGTAATCACCCTGCATAAAGTATATATATAAATAGTAAATATAAGATGCATCAATAGACTAAACAAACATGATTAAATGACCGAATACAAATCAGAAACACAGGTTACTCGACAGATGCTTCACAAGAAGCTCATCTCACAGGCAACGTCACACTGTAATACTCCAACATTACTCCTACACAGAGGCTGACCAAGGTTCCTAGGAAGTTCTCAGAACTTTATAACAGACATGCTGAAGGTTGGACAGAAGAACCGCAACAGGCTCAAATGATGAACAGTGACTTAAAAGAATCTGTGAAGATCGATCAAAACATTTTAATATTAAATATTAACAGGTGTTTCATAAGTGACTCCCCATTTGACAGGATGATCGCCCCCAATATTCCGTTGCCATTATCAAGCAGACACATGCGAGGTACAATTAAAGTGATATGAAAATGAGACAAAACGGTGAAGATATTACCATCGTCAGAAGTTCTCTTTTTCAAAAAGTCACATCACATGTGAAGTTATTTGCCCTCAGGTGAGAAGAACTTATTATTCTCTATGGAAGTGTTGACTGTTATTGAGAAACTGGTATTCAATTTTCTAATGCTGAGACAGGATGGGTCTCAAATGAACTTCCTTTTACGGATGGGAGTTTAATGATGTCATACATGTATCTACAAACAACACACGTGGAGCACGTGCCCCCCCCCCCCCCCCATCAGCCATCTCTGCGCATGTTGCAGGACTGCTGCACTGAGTACATGCAGGCATGATTGTGCTGGGCTTAGAAAAGAATATGGAAAAAAGGAAACAAGTGACAGATTTGATTCCATATAGTGATTTCACGTTAATCTAACTACAAATTCAGAAAGCTGTCTCAGCCTAGAAATGGCCAAGAGTTATATAACAACGAAATACATCAATGAAAAAAAATAAAAGTCTTGCATATTTAGTGAAATTAATTTTCCCTGTAGGCTTCTCTTTCACTGTAATGCATGTACATCCATGCATATAATTTCCAGAACTTCCAGTGAAATCACTGCACATACTACATGTACTTCATAAACTTAACATGTTTCGACGAAGAATTCCTATTGCGATTCTGAAAATAATTCAAAAATATATTTTGCAGGCTATTAAAGGGCATCAAAAACGGCAAATCGTATGCAAACACGTCTACAATGTCCTAATATAGTGTATATATAGTATATTCACAATAGGCTCTATAGTCTGCGAATCACAAATTAAAAAGACAACAATACCAACTCGAAAAGGCAAAGAAATCGATAAAGAGGAAACGCCATTGTAAATTGCCTTTATAAAAGTCTTCGGGAACCTGTTGATACAGTACGTCGACGAATGTTCCCTGCGCAGGAGATCGTGTTCGGAGAGAAGCCGTACATATCAGTATTTCCGCGGTTTATTCTGCAGAAATGTCATTATGACTGCTGAATAATGATGCGTTTACATTACATCGCAATACAGCTAGGCTGCCTATATTCTGTCGGAAATCTTTTCGACGTCTGATCGCCTCTATAGAAGGGCTATCTGCATCAGAAGGTGTACTAACCACACAAAAACACGTTTCAAAAAAACATAAATGCCCACTATAGTGACAGAATCGTCCGACATCATACAGGCCATGGGGGGAGGGGGGGGGCTTGCACACACGACAACAGATTGATTTCTGAGATCTGCTGGGCTATGACATCCTACCCCCCAGCACTGCGTACCACCACGTTTTGCAAAAACAACCAGCTGTTGGTGTCGGTAAAGTAGCTAAGCTAGCGATGGATACTATGCTTCAGTAACCGCTAACAGAAACCTCGGGAAAAACTGCCAAAAACACTTTCGAAGAAACGACGGAGGAACAAGCAAATGACTGTACAGCTACGATATACCATACCTGTGCAGACAGCAAAAGCTTCTCTCCAATGAATATTTTCTCTTTCTGCGCGGAGAAAAGTTTTTTCCTCTTTTCGAGGCGTCACTTCCTATTTTGTATCGCAAACTATAAGTGAGGATCTGCAAGACTTTGCCCGTAGTGTTTCCATGTAGAAACTGTAACCAAAGTAACGCCACCTAGAAATCTTCCGTATGAAATCCACAGAAATGCCACAGTGCAGCCGTGATATCCAGTAAAACAAAGGCAACTTCTCATACACAATATCTGATTCTTTTTTTTTCGAAACACGTTTCACTGGAATTTCTTTCCTTGTTTTTTAACTGATCAAACCACACGTCTGCAGTCGTCATAAACCCCAGAAACGCTTCTTGCAATCTTACCGCGTTCATCTAAACGTTTGCATGAACAACAGTTTTAAAGGATGCATGCATCTGTCAAATTTCTCTTACCATATATTGGTAATGAGATGAATATTTCAGAGCAAGGTCACACGCGTAGTGCACCTTCGGCATGCAGTCATCCGTCTCCATTTTATTTCCGACAATGCTTAATGCCGAGGAGAATAAACTGCGATAACAGTGACATCCACTGAGGATACATTTTAATTAGCTGTTCCACTAACAAAACGATCGACTACTGTTAAGTTCTCCTCTGGCTTTCGCTGCTCTACTCGCAGAACTGCGGACTCTGTAGGCGGCGCTCTAATGTTTTTCTGTGGTTTGTAAATACGCAGAAAGAAAAACCCACTTTGTTTCACATCGGCGGTGAGAATAAGTAACGCAAAGCAAGGAGGATAATCAGCTTCTTGTAAAAGTCGAGCTTGCTTTCTGCGTTAATTATAAAGCATAAAAGTAAACAAGTGTCGGTCCCAGTCCTTTGCGTAATCGTCGGTCGCTAAAATGTCACTTGTACGGAGGGTGGTTTTAAATTCGCGACCTGGTACGTATATATATGCGTTTGTAGTCATTTCTGTTTATAGCAGCGCGTGAATGTAATATAATATAAATATTACATCTAATATAATGTGTTTCACAGGGAAAAATGGAGAAGCCGTTCCTGAGAATTTCCGTGTTGAGGAAATTACTCTCCCGACTGATATAAAACCGGGAGAAGTGTTTGTTCGTACACTTTATCTTTCTGTCGACCCTTACATGGTGAGTCGGGAAGCCTTTTGTAAGCGTGTATTGGTTAGTATGGTCTGACCTTGACGGACAATTGAACTTTAGTCCCGTTTGAGTCAGCAGGGTCGGTATAGGTATACGTTTAATAAGCTATGACGGCGGAAAGAAATGCTGTACATTCAGCCATCAAGACTGGATGAGGCCGTTTTGCTTTTTGTTTCGTTAAACCTTGTGGACACATTAAATTGAAAACATACCGCTGCTCTTCATTAGTTTTTTACGGTTTTGCGCATTTTATTTGGGCACCAGATATGTGGTGCTGTACCAGTTCGAATCCCACCTCCCTCGTTCCAGAGACGGGCAGTTCGGCTAAATGGCGTCTCTGAATTACCCGTAATGTGTGCCCTGCTTTAGGCTACATCCCATCAGGGTGTACCGTCCTTGGTCTTGTGCCCTGCACTTCCTGGCCTCTGTGACCCTGAACAGGATAAACCCCACGGATTAACATAAACCTTGGTCCCCTCAATGTTAACTCCATGGCTACGCCCTTGGGATAAACGATTAAAAAATGTTGATCAACAGAACTCACCACTCCATTGAAAGTCTGCGTAGTATAGCACTATTCACAGGCAAAACTACTTAACCTAGAAACCCATTAGATAAGGATGATCATCAGTCATATCAGTGAATTGCCAAGAATGTGATTGAATGACATAATTTCTTTTATGTAAATCTGAATTACAGCGGTGTCGTATGAATGAAGACACAGGTGCAGATTATCTTTCGCCGTGGGTGGTCTCAGGATGTCTGGATGGTGGTGGTGTAGGGGTGGTGGAATCCAGCAGACATGATGCCGTCTTGAAGGGCGACACCGTGACGTCTTTCAATTGGCCCTGGCAAACCTATGGCATTGTGGACGGCAACAAGCTTCAGAAGGTGCACGTTTCTGAACTGATTTTCCTCCAAGTCTCTGTACATGTTGATTAACTTCTCGTTTGCTTTTTAAAATTATATTTATTTGCAAACTTCAGAAAGAGTAGAGTGAGTTGTTAAAACAGGGCACCTGGTAAAAAGAGTATTGCAGCTAATGAATACATTTAGTAATACTTGTCTTTTCATTTGTTGAACGCAAAACCACCAATAATCGTATTAGGAAGTCACTGTGTACATGGCTTTAAGGCAAGTTGATGTCTCAACAATGAAAATGGGGCAGTGAATTCTTGTCTCTCTGCAGCTGGATCCAGAGCTGGTGGATGGTCACCTGTCATACTTCCTGGGTGCGGTGGGCATGCCTGGTCTCACAGCGCTACTGGGGGTGAGGGAGAAGGGTCACATTACACCCGGGTCCAATCAGACGATGGTCATCAGTGGAGCTGCGGGGGCCTGTGGAAGCCTTGCTGGGCAGGTGTGGCATTTCACGCCTGTTAGTCTTCACAGGGGACATTAAAACCTGTGTGTTATATGGTGATACCTCACTTGCACACAGTGCCATGCAAAACTTTGGGCACCCCTAGTCAAAATTTCTGTTATTGCAAATACTTAACTGAGTAGATGAACTGATCTCCAAAAGGCATGAAGTTCAAAGTTGAAACATTCTTTTCAACATTGTAAGTGACTTTAGTGTATTGTTTCTGTTTTGCACAATTTTAGAGTGGGGGGGAAAAGAACATCATGCAAAAGTTTCAGACCGTAATTAGCTTGTTAGGGCTATGACTTGTTCACAGTCATCATTAGGAAAGGGCAGGTGATGCACATTTGAAAGCCTGATAAATACTCTGACTCCTCTACCATAGTCTCAGCCATCAGCAGCCATAGGCTCCTCTAAGCAGCCGCCTAGCACTCTGAGAATTAAAATAACTCGTGCTCACAAAGCAGGAGAGAGATATTAAAAGATAGCAAGGCGTTGTCAAGTAGCCGTTTCCTGTTAAATTAAGAAACAGCAGTTAACAGGAAAGGTGGAGGTCAAGACAAGGTCTGGAAAACCAAGAAAACTTTCAGTGAGAATTGCTGATGGGATTGCTAGAAAAGCAAATCCACAATGGAATACCTCAAAGGCGCAAGCTGAAGGCTTTGGCCTGGCGCTCACAGTCCTCCGCCCTCAACATTACCACAAGTCTGTAGATAGACCTCAAGAGAGCAGTGCCTGCAAGACAAGTCAAGGATCTCACAGGTCTGGAAGACTTCTGCGAGGAACAGTAGGCGAAAATTCCCCCCAAAGAATAATTGCTAGATGGGCTAAAAAAAACTGCTCTTCAAGCTTGTGATACTTGCCAGTGGGGGTCTTACTGAGTACTGATCATGCAGGCTGCCCCAACTTTTGCTTCAGGCAATAGTCCTTTGTTATACTGAAACTACAAAAGACAGAAATAAAAGTACTTAAAATATTACAGAAATGTCATCTTTAATTTTACACCTTTTGGAAATCAGGTCGAATTTTACTTGCTTATTCACAGTAACATAGATTTTGACCATGGGCGCCCAAACTTTTGCATGCCACTATAGCTTAAAGTCCTGTGTGTCTGTTTGTGTGTGCATGCATATGGTGTGCCAAATCCCAGATTGCTCGTCTGGATGGCTGCAGCAAAGTGGTGGGGATCTGTGGATCGGACAAGAAATGCCAGACCCTCACGTCAGAGCTTGGGTTCTCCAGCGCAGTGAACTACCGCTCTGCAGACATATCAGCTGCACTGAAGGAACACTGTCCCGATGGGGTGGATGTGTACTTCGACAATGTTGGTGGTTCCATCAGTGATGCTGTTATAGCACAGGTATTTGCCCATATCACTTTACCTGTTAAGCCAGAATGAGCATTAGGTACATCAGTTGAAGCTCATGCCCAAAAAACATTTGTGCTCCTTTAGATGAACCAGAATGGTCATGTGATCCTGTGTGGCCAAATCTCGCAGTACAACAAAGATGTCCCATATCCCCCCCCACTTGATGCAGCAACGCAGGAAATACTCTGCCGCAAAAATATTACCAGGTATTTCCCTTAAATCCTCTTACACAAAATTTGAAATGTAACAGTCATCTATTGCCCACAAAGCACGGTGAAACGGTACTTTGCAAAATAGTCATGTTCTGTACATTAGTTCTATGCACGGTTTTCCATTTTTGTGAATACAGAGAAAGGTTCACAGTTATTAACTACATGGACAAATTCGAGGCTGGTCTTCTGCAGCTGTGTCAGTGGGTGAAGGCAGGGCAGATGAAAGTAAGAACACTTCAGAAATATTAATGTGACTAAATTGACACAGTTATAAACATGATCCTAAATAAAACTGGGTTTAGCTATGCTTGGAAAATGTACAGTGTTCTAATATACTGTGAATTCAAGGAATCTAATCTTAAAGTATGCCATTATTATTAATGTATAGTAATAGAGATTTAAACTTTTCGACATTGTAATTCTGGATAGACTGATTAAGCTGATCAGTGAGATCTTTAAAAATTGTGTATTTTTTATTTAGTAGAATGTTTCTTCTCATCCAGGTTTTGGAAACGGTTGTTCTTGGGATAGAGAATATGGGAGGTAAGTCTGTGTGACACTGTAAGAAGTGTAATCATTTTACACAATGGAAATCATTTATTTTTTCTCTCCCACAGTGGCATTCCATTCAGTGATGAGTGGTGGAAATATTGGGAAGCAGATTGTCAAGATATCAGATTGAATGGACATTTTTGTCCAGTACACGGTACACGTGAAAATGGTCAACAGGGAAGAAGTTGATATTGCTTTTGTGAGAAATACTCTCTGCATCATGAATTTGTAGACGTGTATAACACAATGCTAAACTTTATCATTCAATATCCTTAATGTAAAATTAGTAGAAATGTTATTTAACACTAATGTTTGAGTAACTCTCATTATGGAGCAACAAGAAGCAATTCTCAGTTAAAAAAAAAAGATTCACAGCACTAAAAATTCCATTTTAATATATATTTCCCAAATTTCACATATAATAGGACAATGTCATACAGTTTAAAAATATCAAACTTGATTCCAATGGCATAATGTAAACAAAATTCCTATTGACCACATTTAAAATCTGTAGAAATGATACAAATCCATTGCTTGTGTTTTGGTTGTGGATTAATCACTATGAGGCTTAACTGCAGCCAAACATAAGGGGACAAACACGAGTGAAGCACTGACCTTTGAGCTTCTGCAGTCATCCAAAGGCACACATTTGTGTACAAGTCACTTTATAGCCCCTCCCCCATAGTCATTTACAGTTGTGTGTCCTTTGTGTTTTTACTCTGTTAGTAATAGTAACTAGCTAGTGCTTATAAACATCCTTCTTTAAACAATATATAATGTGGACAACAAAAACCAATGGAAGCATCCATCAGCACTGACCATAATGATCAGAAGTACACTTTGTTTCAAGATTGCACTTATAGCATAACATTTTGCTGAAAACATGACTAATTGTAACTAATGTATATTTTTGTCAACAATTGTCAATTCAGAGTATATAGGGGGACTGTAAAATAAGTTAAAATATATGCTCAAATCATGGCACGTTCCTGAGAAACAATGTGTTCATTGGCAGGACGTAAACAGACCAACAAACATCTTGCAATATTAAATACCAGGATTCATCATCTTCAGAAATCAAAACACATATTTCCACAAGTACATATGATGGGATGTCACAAATGTCAGTAGCATAACCACGATAGACAATGGAATTTCAAACACACAAACACCAGTATATACAGTGATGACTGAGAACCTGCTATTAAGTGGAAACCTGTTCCATTCTTTAGTGTCTAGTATGAAATCCTATTTTGTCTTTGAGAAACCTTCAGTCCACCTTTAAATCTTCACACAATGTATTTTTTTGAATTTTTTTTCTATCCTTCCCTGACACATTTAACATCAGAAATCCTATTTTGCTCATTTACAAAGCAACAACATTAGTTAACCTTCATGGCAAAACCCTCGACAGAGTGTGAACAGGTGCCTTGTTCTGTTTTCCTTAAATAGTGAGCTTTGACAGGTTGGAAATCATGGTGTTGCAGCTATATGTTAGTAAACTAAGTTTACTATACCTTCTGCCCTTCCTGGCTCCATTCTGGACCTTAAGCCTCACAAACAACTCAGAACGAGTAAAATATGCTTCATCTACTGATTGTACAGCTGCAGACAGACATATTACAATAGTGTTCCAGGTGTTTTACGATTGGGAGGATAAGCATCCACACTTGGAAGCCAAAATACATGTTAAAAAACCCATCTAGTTACACACATGTGCAAACACAGTACCCCATAGTGCCTTATGTGAGCCACATTGCTACAACTGGAAAAAATACACCAAAGGTTTAAAATGATTGTAATTACAAAAAAAAACAGCAAAAGTACAAAAAAAATCCTTTTGGTTTCTTACAGAAACCAATCTGATCATCCTGATATCTGAAGTACACTAGACCTGCCAAAAATACTTGCAGAACTTGAATGAAAAATTTGCAGTATCTGCGGAAAACATCAAAAATGACTCCAAATCTAAAAGAATATTGTGATGTTATACTGCATGACATACTCAAGAGAGTATTGTACATGTGGGAGATGAAACATTTGTCTCATAAATACTGGTGATTTGTAATGACTATTAACCTAACCATGTCTGTTGGGGATACTGTACCTCCAAAATGTGATTTAATATTTCTGGTCTTTCATTAGATGTAAAGACCTTTTAAGCAGTGGTTAAAAATAAAAGATCTTGTCCCAAATAAACCATTAATTAAAATAAAGCAAAAGAAAATGATCAAATCAGTATATTCTAGGGAAAAAAAATGAACAGATCCTTGCTGAGTGTCAGATTTGGGTATGGTGATGCTATGACGGCCTTACTGGGCTGGGTCCTCTCCAGGCTTGGTATATCAGCAGTATGCCCAGCCCGAGGGCCCAGCATCTGACAGGCGATAGGAAGAAGGCCTGAGGTCCATAGGTCTCCAGCAGGAAGTAGCATGAATAGGCCTGCCACATGAGCAGCCCCAGCATCACCATATGTATGGGCACAGTTCTAATAGGACCAGCTCGCCTGAAGTGTGAGCGGAAGCAGTTACCACGGGAACGCAAGTAGAGACTCCAGCAGAGGTAGCAAGTCAGAGGCATGTTGAAGAAAACGACCTAGGAAAGAGAATGAAGCAGAGTGATTTTCCAGCTGTTTGTGTCTTCTGTCGCTTTCGATAAGCAAGTGGAGTGTGTGTGTAATGCCAAGGCCTGGTTTGCAGATGAGTTAGACCCCTTTCAGAGATTTAAATGGAACCAGCATCTTGAAATTGACCTGATTTGCGTATTTCCAACACGTTGGCAGATAAAAGACAGACGATCATGTTATACTTTGGGATCGGAGGTGTCCAACCTGTGACATACTTGAAAGCCCAGTGCTTTAAACAAAGCATTTATAAGCAAAATCTGTAGGACTCAGACCAAGGAGATGGGAAAAGATGTCCGATATGAAATGAATCACCTTGGTTATACCATTTGTTTCTGAAACAAAAATAACTAACCTACGTGTTTTTGAAACATACAGTTTACCTCCTTAACCAAAACACTTACCTGCAGAATTCCAACAACGTATGTTAAACTGCCCTTCAGAAAGTGCCCGTTAACAAACACCCCAAAAGCAAAGCAGGCACCGCTACGTCCATCAATCACCTCTCCAACAAACCAGGGACCTGTAAACAAACAATCACATGGAAGTTCAAAGCAAAAATGCCCACGTTCGCCACAAATGTTAATGCCTGGGGCCCAGCCTTTTACTCAAATGCAGTCCTTACTCACCTAAAGCGGTGTACAAATTGAAAAGTAGCAGGGAATAATAGAAGATGTTTGTTTTGCTGATAAGGTGCATGGAGAGACATGTCTGAGAGATGATCCCTGATGAAACTGCAGGAAAAAATGCAGGTAAATACAGACATGAAAAAGATTATAATTCATTATATAACACTATTTAATTCAACTTGTTCAGTGAATTCCTAATGCTAATTTGTTAACAAAAAAAGCACTGGCGATATTCTTTAACTGAACAGAAAAAACAGCGTCGTCAAAGCCATGGCACTTCACTCCTCACCTCTCATGGATGGAGGCTGCAGGAACCTGAAAGCCAGCAGTACAGCAACATTCAGCAAGACCGTCAACACGAAGGTGACTCGCGCCTGTACACAAATCGAGGCGTACTTAGTCAGGGCGCAACGGGATAAACAAAAAAGCCACAGAATATGAATGCAGACAATTTTGCAGGCTAAACTATAGCAAAAGCAACACTTTGGTGGGGACCATTATGCGTAAATTAATTGCGGCGTACACAGATGCAGTCAATGTTAAACTGCCCAAGCCGCGTGCATTAATGTTTCTGCTCAGTGAGTTAAATTGGTAACATATGGCGTGAGGCAGTACCAATATATAGTGGTCAGTCAGCAGGATAAAGGATTGTAGGAAGCCAAAGCTTAGAGAGAAGCTGTCCTCTAGCGTGAACTGCTGCCCATACGTCACAAACCGGCCAGCTGAGTCCTGTGAGTAGGACAGGGAGAGATTCACACCATAATTTTAATAATCCAAAGCCATTTATTTGCTGCAAGACTTCATAAGTATGTATGGTTAAAATGTTACCTCAATTTTGACCATGATGGAATGTAGTCCAGTGTTATACAAAGAGGGGTTCCAGGGTAGGACATACAGGGGGCCCCCAACTGAGTAACCCTCCCCCAGAGCATGTCCATCCACACTGATATGTACTGCCGTGATCTGAGCCTCAGAAAATGCTAGAACTCTGACAGTTACAGCAGGGGAGATAAAAGCAGGTTAATGCTCACGGCGTAGGGTCTTCGCATCAAGCGTGTGGCAGATGGTGAGTTTCGGGACTATGTGGAGTCTCACCCAAAGGAACGCAGCAAGCGGGTAGGATTTTTGGACATTACGGGGTTAATGGGAACTAAGGAAAGGCACCTGATATGGGTAGAATGCTGCATCCGGCCCAATGGCTCCACAACAGGATGTCGGTAGAGAGCTTCCTTGGGGTTGGTGATGACTGCGATGGGCCACTGCTCAAAGGTCAGGTCAGAGAAACTCAGCAGGTCGTGGTCGAATGCAAGCAGCCTGTACCTAAGGACGGGATGCAAATGAGACACGATAGAAACGCATATGTCTGCGCATTTACTCTGACCTGCTCTCACCTGCGGTTTTCCATCCAGTCTCCCAGCTCCAATTCCAGGGTGCCTTGATGGTGTCGGCTGTGGAGAACAGGCATCAGACCCCCCAGGGTGTGCAGATGTCCACATAAGTAGGCCACTGCTGAACTGCGCGAAGACCAAACATGCATCATTTTTCGATAATTATCCACCCAACAGAGCACCATGACGCTTCAAATGGCCCCGAAAGGTTAAATCGAAATAAATGAAGATGTGAGCAGTTGAAGAAGAACTTCACCTCATTAGCTCTCGGATTCCGGGAGAGGAAGAGATTATGGTGGATGTGGTGTAGTGTCCGAACCAGATGGTCTGGTTACTGTCCTGGCTCTCTAGTTTGAGCATGGCCAACATATCCATCTGAGCCTAAGAAACATTTTAGTACAGTTGTTGCGATTCACACACTTCTTTTTGATTTGGTTTCTAATTATTAATCACAGAATATAAAGTTTAAATGAATGTAACAAGCTTCTCTGACTTGATGCTCAAGAGTCCTGAAGAACAGCCTACCTGATCAAGAATGCCGAAGAAGTTGTAAGGGCGTTTAGGGCCTGGGGTGAGAGTTGCATCTGCACAGATGAATGAATAATTTCCAAAGGGTGTCCTATGAACATAGTGGAAGGAACCTGCCTGTCGAGTGGCAGAGTACTTCCTGAGATCAGAAACAGAACCAACACACGCTATGGCAGAGAATCGTACATAGCAAATGACTACAATCTAATAAAAATGAAACGGGAGTTTACACTGACCTGTAGTAATTGTTTACACTGTCCAGTGAAATTATATTGAATGAGTCTGGCAAAAAACAGATTCAACGTTAAGAAAAATAAGTCTTAGTCATGAAACTTTTCCTTATTACACTGGCATTGCACACAGGCATTTACAGCAAATTTTACTTTAACTCGGATTGTTCCATTTTTTCATTATCTCAAAACCCTATGGTGGATCTTCCAGTAACATTGCAATGCATATGTGGTGTGTGAATAGAGAAAAAAAATGGGTGTCAGGTTAAACAGCTATAGTAATTCCATGGAGGAATGAACAACGACCCCAGACTGTATGCTGGCAATGAACTCATATAATGTGTAACTTTATATCACACCCAGTCTGAAACCCACCATCATTTAAAATGTTTTCATGTTTGGTGGGCACTTTTATTTTCTAAATAAAAAAGTGGTCATGTATCCGAGTAGAGCGCCATCTGAGGAATACCCTCAGATATCCCCAAGGATATTTTTTGTTTTACTCTTGTTTCCTATCACCTCATACTCTTATTGATAATACAGTGGATCTTCCCGTATCGACTCCATTTCACCATGACTAGAGACACATTACATTCAATGTACTGACAATTTACTGGGTGCCAGCAGTGGGGTGGGGGGAGGGGGGGGGAAAGAAGGGAGATGGTCACCATGGTTCCCACGGATGTCAATCCACTTTGTCTGCTCCAGCACACGTGAACTCTTAAGGACATTATGATAGGTCTGCCACTCCACTTCATGCTGTAAGGAGCCCATCTTGCTCTCTGTTTTAGCATCTGTCAGGTCTCCTGAAGCATGCATACACAAAGACACCAATCAGTGTGAGTCATCCGGCAGGGAGGGAGATACGGTTACCTTGGATACAGAGTACGAGGTGCACCATTAACAACTTTAAACTGGTAGTGGTACACCCAAAGCTCTTTGAGATGACTCAATTCATATTTGTTGTATAGAGCAATAAATACTCATATTTCCCATTTATTTTGTTTCCATTTCTTCAGTGAATTAAGAATTGTCCTTCCATCCCCGCTATATTCTTACATAAGCCCAAATACTTCACAGTGCTGACTTCAATGAACAGAAAATCGTATCCCTACATAAACTCGCAAAACAAATTTGTAGAAAGTTTTAAACTACCTGTAACCAGAACCAGGGCTGGTTTTATGACACCAATTGTATCCGTGCAGAACTTTTTGAAATCTGGAACACGCCTTGGGTCACGGAAGCGACTGATGTGAATGTCCGAGACCTATGATATTGGATTTCAACAATTTAATATATTAAAATATATTCAGTACATTAAGATAAGATAGATCTTTATTGACACTATTACAGAAACAGTGAAAAACAGTTAATGAATGCTATACACGTCCAGTAAACTGGTACACCTGAGTATCGCAGGGTTCCCAACTTCGTTCAGATGGCTGGCGTGAGATTTTAAATTCGAGACAAGTCTGTACAAGCATTTACATGTATGTAAGCGTTTTATTGCCTTGTAAATAGTCTATAGGCTTTGCAAACTACCCCAACGGTTTTGATGTAACTAATTTGAGGTTTATAACGGAATAATATATATTTGCCATAAGATTTCTTGCGAGAGCGTGTCATGGCAGATGCGTATGAGTTGGCAACCCTGGTATTGTGTCTGGTAAATCAGAACTACTTAAAGCCAAAAGGGTTACTGTCACCTTATCAAGAATTCCTGTTCGTCTGCTCACTGTTTTGAAACCAATTCAAACGTCAGAGTGAAAGCGACATGTCTAACGACAGCAACTCACATAATTTGAAATAAAGCGCTCACTTGCACAAACCAAAATATATTATCCAGCTGCCCGCCGGGATACGGTGGGGCGTTGTTCCAGCCTCCATCCCCGGCACTAGAGTTTGATTTCCCGACGCTCCGTTTGGGATGCCATGCAGTATTATAGCTTTCCAAAACCCAGGAAGTCAGAAAGGCGAAAACCAGCCCCGCCATAACAAAAGCGCCAAAAAGCCGCAGCATTTTGCCCAAGAAACGAGAGGCGAAGAAAGGACGAGACCATAAAGCGCTACTTCCAGTTACCGGCGCCATTCGATTAAGCAAAATCGACCATAGTTTGCGTTTGGTCTTGCCCTACTGGCACTGCCCAGGCAGATGTACAGCGTCAGCAGCCGGAGCTTCCGGCTTCCGGCCAGAATGAATCGTATTTCCGCTTCACTGACGTTTAAAGAGATGGAACACGCACGCGCTTTCCTATCACCCAGGAATGGTCGAGTTTGATGACACCAGGAGGAATGAATGTTACAAGTCGGGATTTCATGTTACACCGGCGTCAGTTTCCGTTACACCGAAGTACGCCAGCAATTACACACAAAATTTAGTTTGGATATTATTTGCCATTTATATTCAAATATGCTATATGTTTCTGTGGTATTTGCATTTCTGCAAAATGTTTCACCTGTTTATTGGTTTGATGCTTTCTATTATCGATTATATTAACTAAATTTTTGCCGTTTTTTCTGCTGCAGTTTATTAACAGTTACAGGATCAAGTCAACAATGCAGTGTTTTAAACGCTTTTAAACTGTCATTGTCTCTCTGTTGCAATGGTCTCCTTTTTTGTTTGTTTATTGTATTTTTTTAAACCAGGCATATAATTGCTTTCTCTCTAGTGCCTCTAAAGGTCACTTACATCTTAAAATATTTGCTCTGTGTTCCTTCTGCTGTCTCCACTGCATGCATACATGATACCATATTTTTCTGGACAATTTCCTGTGTCTTATTTTATGCAGTCATCACATGACAGGTGGCACTGAATCAATGTTTTTGTTTTAAGGTTAAGGTCATGGTGTATCCCCGGTAGCACTGCTGTTTCATATTTCCAGGGTTGGGGGTTTAAATTCCACCCTTGCATGCCCTCTGTGTATTTTGGGGGCTCCCTCCAGGTGCCCCAGTTTCCAACTGCAATGGTAACAATGGATAAGAGTCTCATTCAGACTGTACTCCTGCTATGTGCTCTACGCTGCCTGAATTGTAAATGCAACATTCATTCTATGTTTACTCTAGGCCAGTTTGGTGAGCGTCATATTCGGTTAAACATTCAATAAAAATGCTCTTATTTTTAGACTAAACACTCACTGTGGCCCAGTACTACATAAGGGTTTAAATTAATTAATTAATTAATTAATTATTAATTAGTTTGGAAAATGGGTAGATTGCCCAGTCAATGTCGATTAGGTTACTAAATAGTACTTGGGTTATGCATCATTATCATTAACATATATTTAACAGATGCTTTTATCCAAATGGATGAAAAAGTGAGGCATATAGCACATTACAAACATGCTGTGGTGGAGTGGACTAGGCATAAGTGCAGCTAGGCTGAGCTTCCAGTGTATGCCCAGGTGGAAGTGTAAGCAGCACTGGAGCAGGAGTTACACATCATCCAAACAAAACAAGAAACTGATGACTACTATTACATTAGCAGAAAGTGCATCACTAAGAGCACTGAGGGAACACGGGGTAGTAACCAGCTAGTAGAGGTGTTACTGGAATAGATAAGGCTTGAAACCTTTCTTGAAGGTGGAGAGGGAGTCTGAGGACCAGATTCGGTTTGGCAGCTCATTCCACCAACGGGGGACCACATGTGAGTAAAGTCTGCAATGCCACTTCTCACATGGTGAAGGGAGCTCCGAGCAGCATTGGACTGAGTTAGTTTATTCTGTTATTAATGCATATACATCAATATATCACTTTGCAAATAACATATGCAATTAAAAATTGTGAGGCTGTTTGCGTCATTTGTCACACTCAAAATTAAAATGAACAATAAATGCAATAGCTAATTCTAATTAAAAATGCATACTATCAGACTAAAGAAAATATGTCTATTTTGTCTGTTTTCGATCATCAGAAATACACACTAGAAAATAGGCCCATTTCATACTGTACAACTATACATACTTCAAGTGAGATAATTTCTAGGATTCTTTTGCTAGTAAAGGGTTATTACGTGCCTAAAATATAGCCATATTACAACTCAGCTTTCATTTGCCATCCTTTGTACGTCGACGCGTGTGAGAAATCACCGAAACGCACTCCACTGACCATTACGCGGAGAACGCCGCGCGAAGGCGCGGGCATGTTGTTGATACACATGTGCACTAGCGAATGGGAGTGCGCGTTCGCTGAGCGTGCTGTTGCGAGGGGCTGAAGCGTTGTGAACGAGCGCGCGTGCAGGCTCTCTCTCTCTCTCTCTCTCTCTCTCTCGAGTAGTCAGTCACGTCACAGAGCTGCAGCGGGCGAGAGATGCTGAGGTGACAGAAGGAGAAAAGGGACGATTTTGTAGCCAATCATTTTTATATTCTTGCTTTATGACAAATGCCGGCGTAAACAATTTGGACGTCGTCTGCGAAGCCGCCACCTTGTAGAGACCGTATATGTTCATAATGGGATTAAAGAAGGCGCCTCGGTCTTTAATTAAGATACACATAAGGGATTCCTTTTAACCACACCCGGCTCCTTGTGGATCAAGGATTGGCGATATTAAGGTAGGGATACTACGCAATTAGGGTAGTGCACAGCATCAAAGAAACAAACATGGTTCCGCATGCGAAACCGGCGACGGCCAGCAGCATTTTCGAACTGGCATATTTTGGTAGCGTGACGCTGCCAAGGTCGTCATGTGGAGGCAGCTAGTTTCATGTCTCAGTGCGGCTTTTTTCCCCCAGGATTTGCAAGCCGTAACCTAGGGCAGCTAGTGTGCTTATAAACGCGATCCCAGGCGGTAAATCTGAGGACGTGGAAACCCGGGCCAGTAATAAAGCACGAGCCTTAAGTGTAGCGTCCAGAAGCGTAGTATCGGGCCCATTCAAGAGGCGTCTGTGTGCTAATTACCGGCGTGACATTTGCGGGTGAATTAAATGCTATTGCTTTGTTATCTGAGCAGTATATTGGGCTCATGTTTTGTAACTGTAATACCAAATCATTGACATACAAATAACAGAGCGCGGCTGATTTTCAATGAAGCAGTTACGATAAACGCCAGCGGCGTAAGGCTGCAAGCTGTTTAATTACTATTTATTTATGGGCAGGTATTTCATATTAATCTTAGGCGTAAATGGATTGAGGAATTACTGACGATAGGGAGAGCAAGTGCCAACCAATAATGGGGCAAGAAATATAAGCGCGCATATATATATACAGTATGTGTATATATATATATATATATATATATATATATATATATATATATATATATATATAAAAATTGTGCGTGCGCGCGTGTATATGTGTGTGTGTATATATGTAGTATGTATATGCTTATCACAATATGTATATATGTCATTTGTCATTTTCGTTCCCAGCCAAAGGAGCGAATAATTTCTACAATTATTATTTTGTTTTGTATCTATTTTATTAGACAGTCGGACTATAATTGACAGTGAATGTGTCCATCACTGTTTATTGAACATCAACGGAAATTAAATCCAGATGATTCCCTGCTGGACTTGGAATATGTGTATTTTAAGTTCATCCACCAGCTTCCACAACAATCACAAGTTGGTTCTGGAATTGTTTGGCTTGGGGTTAACAATTAATAGTGTTTGTTTGTGTGTTTGCTTATTGGTTCTGTGATCAGCGAAATTGATCAGTATCATTAGAAAAGTGTGATATTTAACTAGAGCATTTTCAGAAAACTTTGTGCATGATGCTATCCACATCTTCTATAATGTGTGTGCATTGTAATCCACAAATCCTTAAAACATATTTCTGTTGATCTGCTCATGCATTGTCAATATTAACTCATTTAGTTAGGGTTGCAGAATCAGTCCTGGGAAGTGTTTCTGGTACGGTAGGGTACACCCTGAGCATGGTGCTGACATCCGTAATGCATTCAGCTACATAAAGGGGTATTTGTTCCTATGGACCTGCTTTATTCCCTGTGAATAGTGGGGTAACTCTAAAGCAATTAGAATAATCAAAATGTATTTAATTGTATGTTTATTTTGTCATAATTGAACAGCATCTAACTCAAAAGCATGAATAATTCTTGATTCAAAACTGGGAAATTGTATGTTGGAATATATTTTGTACCGACTGGTGTTTACACTGTCTAAAAGATCCAATAAGGTTCCGTCTTGGGTAGGGTTACATTTGAGTTATTTTGGGGGGGTATTATGTTGATAAGTGGTTAGTATTGTTTAATGTCCCCTCATCCTATACAGATTATGTGACAGAAGTATGATTAAAAATAGCAGTGGCAACACTGCCCTGCTGTACAAAATGTAAACATTACTCATCCGTAGTACTCTGGGAGGAGACAGCATTGGTTACATTTATTAAGTTAATGCGTTAAGACCAGCAATGTGAAGCCGATGGCTGCAGATCTCAGATGTGAATTCTTAGTACTGTCACTGTGACTACTGTACCTTGTGTAGTTGAGTTGCATCTCACTTTCGGGAAGTCAGGTAAACAATAAATAGGATGTACTTGGAAGTATATTACTTAGTATTCTTTTGTAATTAAGTTATGGGAAGTAAATAAATCCTTTCAGATACTTTCAAAACATTTTAATGGTTTCTCATAATTGATATGAGTAATAGAAACGCTACTAACTTAATATTTTTATCTTTATCTGAGAGAAAATAGCTTTGTATTTTTCTGTTTATGCCAGATGTAGACAGAAAGTGGGTCCTGCTATGGTAATCATGTCTCCTAATAAAATATTGTGTCTTATTCAGTGATGAGATGCACTGTATATGCAGTGATTGTTGGCTTCATACACTACAGACAATATGACACTGAAAAATTCCCACAATCTACCTGCAAACTTGTAACACTGTATAACCAGCCATATACTGTAGTTGTTGTACTCGAATAGCCCTTCTTTAGCTTCATGTTTAAATCAGCCACCAGTGTTTGTTTACATCCATTTCAGGATTATCCCAGTTCATTTAACCATATTGGGCAATGAGTCTTGATGAATGCTAAATCGATCAATATGAATTCAAATGCACCTGATTGAATTATACCACAGACTTAATAAATTCCAGCTGATTTCTTTCTTTACCTGGCTAATACAGCGTAAACTTTTTTCATTTGGATTTAGTTACACAGCGAGGAACCCAAAACTACGGAATGACCTTTACCTCACATACATCAGTGCGTTTTGTCATGCTGCTAACTGGTAGTCACAAATTGTTATTTTTAAATAATCTCTGACGGCTTTGTCCTACAGGATGGGCTAGAGTCCTCTGGAGAATTTTTAAAAATGCAAAGGTATTCCTTTAGAAGGAGTGTCCGTTTGTGTGCAGCTGAGATGTGTTTCAGAGGAGGTTCCTATGGGGACAAACATGGCATGGAGTAACACGGGAAGGAACAAGGTTCGCATAATAAGCAGCTGCTTATTGGCACTTTTTAGATTCATCTTAGTGCAATATAACAGTGACTGCTGACATATACCATAAAGGTTTAAGTATGTTACAGTAAGTATTAATTACGTATAAGTACAGATGTTCAGGTGCTAAATTTGTTAAGTCTAGCTGTTAAGCGAGAGCTGGCTCAGTTAGCCTGCTGTGCTTATGAAGCAGTTGGGGATAAATGCTACAGGATTCGAACCTGTGGTCTTCCAGATGTGTGCATGGATCCCTGTGCGCTGAACTTTCTACAAATTTCACAAGTAGAACATTTTTGAGTTGATATTTTTGTGCTTGTAGGTTTCGTGCTGTAAAAAGATTACTTGAGAAATCTTACACAAATGAGCGTCATGCAGCCAGAGACTAAAATTTTAGTACAAACTGTCATTTTCCAACACACATTCATAAGTGTAGATCGCGAGCACAAAACGTGCCATGGACAAATTATTATTCATGAATATGGATTCTGATTAATGGACTCAAAATGCTTTGGCAGTCTTTCAATCATGCCTTCCCCTCCCACCCAAAAATTCTCTGTACTTGGCTGTTGAGTCATTGTTTGGTCATGGTTTGATAGTGCTAATCTGAAGTCCCTTTCAATCTCGCAAAGCCAATCCATTCTTGGTGTTTGTGTCCTTATGTTGGTGAGATCATCAGACATACATTAAGAAATGCATTCATATATTAAGAATACATTAAGAAATATGATCCATTAAAATAATCTTTTATTTAAGAAGTTTGTCATATGTACAGTAAAACAGTCAGTTACCCCATATAAGTAAGTGAAAATCTTACTCTGCATGTTCTGTCTGAGCACAGTTGACAAGTATCAAACATGAGATACAATATCAAAGACAGACAGAGTGCAGTGTAAACATAGAAACATAAAGTATGAGACAAATATACATGATACAGTATGTCAATGGGATATGAGGAAAAAGAAATTCCTCAAGTAGATGCAGTTGTGCGAAGTCTGCAGCGTTGTCCTGTGCGTGTGTGTGTGTGTGTGTCATGTTCATAGTGCTTGTGAGGTACATTTTCAACTAACGTTGTATAAGACCTTCTATGCTGTGTGATGTAATGCTTCCTGAAACATTCTGGTGCCAACGGGAAACAAATGAATAAAAAAAAATTCAAATATGGAGGTCTTGTACTAGACCAGTCAATATTAAGAATGTAAAGTAACCTAAATTGAATCTCACAAGAAAATAAAACAAGATGACGGTATTGCTGATTACTCATGGAGTTCTGTATTTTATTGGGATAAGGAAAATCCTGATTATTCTACCTGATTTTTCGATAGCATTGAATATCTGCCCCCGTAAAACTCTTCACTTCTGGGTAATGACACACGACAGCAGTGATGTCAGTGCTGTACAACAACACAGGACATACTTAGGAGCAGATCCCTGTTACCCTGCACACCTATTCCAAACCAGTGCATCTGTGCAAAGAATGGCAATATAACAGGAGTGGAACGGACTGAAGGACTGAAGCTGTCAGTTTTCACTGCTGATATTATCAGAGGAACAGTTTGAGTTCTTGAGGGAATGTAAATTATGGTCTGATTTCTTCATTATGTGTAACCTCATGAGATTTTAGGTGATTTGTGCCTATGCAGCAGTACGGAGGGTATTGTTGCGTGCTGCCTGTGTTGTAGGCTGAAATCTCACCACCGGTAAACATGCGCTCTCAGTGTATTCATAGGTTACTAACAACTCACTATTATTTCCCCTCACAGTTCAAAAACATGCAATTGAAGTGTATTGGCAACCATGAATGGTCTGTACACCTTTAGCCTACCTATTGTAGGATTAATTCTATATCACTGTAACCCTGATTAGCTATGCAGCAATTACTATATATAAAGATTTTACTACTGCAAGTGTGCAGAGCAGGGAAAGCAGTCTAATGCCTGATGTAGTATTAAGAATAAGGTGCTAATAATTTGTTTGAAAATAATTTACCTACTCATCCTAATGGGATCACTATTACCTTGGCAAGTTTCTGCACAATTCTACTGACTTTCCACTCAGCTGGGTCTTCAGTTTCTATTTGTTCTTTTTCCCTGGTGTGCATAGGTACGAAATTTAGTAACTTAGTAACAACTTTAAAACTGTTCGATTTTACTGCACTGTTTGTTGCAATACATCTGCCCTCTGCTGTACAACTTCAGATGGACCCTGTGTGCCCACGGATAAATGTAGTATGGATGCAAGAGTCCATGAGCCCAACCGTGGGTGGGACCGTAATTGCATATGGCAAAGTATAAACTAAGCTTAATACTGTACACCAGCAGTAACATTGCTAGGTGGTGATTTCCTTACACACGATTTCCGCAGCAAACTGCAAAAATATAACCAATCGATGACAATTTGTCGTCATCTATTTTTATTACTGATTATTATCGTTATCGATAATAATTATCAATTAGTTGTTGCAGTCCTACATATGAATTTAACAAGTTATATAAATTAACTGGTTTATGTGGAATTGCTTTCATGAGCTATTGACTTTTTTTTTTTTTACCTTTTGTTGTTTAAAATAAGTAACACTAGCTGGTTGAATCTGAACAAACAGAATATGCTTGTCTCTTCTGAATGGGGACCTGCTGGGGATAGACTTTCATTACTAAGCTGTAGCAAGGTTATGTCCTGGGGTGTGGCTGGTTTGCCTTGACACCGTGTCCCGCGGGGCTCTAGTGTTCCCTGGCAGTGCGGAGAGCTGAAAGGAGAGCGGCTTGGCCAGACGACGCGACAGGTGCGGCAGCTGCAGCGGGCTGAGGCTAGAATCTCACAGGCTCTGCGTCAGTCCTGCAGTCCGTTCCATCTGTCCACGCTTTGACACTTATGTGTGCGGGTGCTTCAAAAGCAGGTGTTGCTGAACTGGTGGTGGTGGTGGTGTTGTTGTTTTATTCCAATTGTTTGACCTGATCCTTCCAAATTGCCATGACAGTGTGTGAATCAGGATGACTGTGCCTTTTTCTCCAGCTGTTTAAGGCAGGTAACTGTTGCTCATATCATCTGTAACTCTACTGTTGTTTATATTGCATTGCTTTGTAAATTCTAGGGTGATAAATGGATTACACGTCACACAGAAAATCAAATTATCTTGCCCTGTGATATAGGTCACATAAGATGCAAAATCTGTGTATAAATGCAACAAAAATCTATTATATATGAAGACCTTGCCAACTTATTACATTTTTTTGTTCTCTGTGCTAAAAGTACACTGGACACATTCTCATCTTTTTAGCCAGATTGAATGAACTTGATAAATTTATTCATTTATGATTCATGGAGACCCTATTTATTACTTGTTAGAGGATGGATGGATGCAAATATATTTTCTGAAAAAAAATGTTAGCTTTCTGAAAAGGTGGGCTGGTGAAACTGAGAATATTTTCAGGTGACCCATAGCTGGATCCTAACATGTTTGCAGTATCTTATGTAGTCCTTGAAATACAAATATGCATGACTGTCTCACAGATACCGCACTATACATGTGAGAGATAGACATTGCTGTACATGATTGTATTATAATCTGATATTTTACTGTTTTGAGGCTGGAAATTGACCAGAGGTGATACAAGCTTCATTGCCACTGTTTAGAAGTATTCCAGTTTCCATGATATATAACCCACCTTATTTCAAGAAATATGCAAAGCAAGATGAGTACGCTTGGTCACACGGCGGTTTGCCTGGTGCCTGTCTGTTTTGGTCCAGGTAGCAATAAACATTTAATCTGTTAAACTCAATAATGATTTATTTTCATCATTTAGTGGGGCTGCACAATACAACATCACAGTATCACATTGCGATATTTGAACTATCACTCAGTAATATTGTGCTATAATAAAACAAAAAGGAGATTTTTATGCTTTTAACAATAACTAGTAGCACATTGATTTGCAAAGTTTTTAGAGGTGGAAGTAATGTTTAGTGGGAAATCCCACTAATCATAGCACACGCAAATGTGCAAGACAACGCAAGCAATATGAAAACAGCAATGGATGACTTGGGAGTCGCTAGCTTGGGCTGTTTTGCGCAATCTCTGCAGCTGCTATCGCAGCGAAGTGTAAGTGATTCTGGTGCCAGTCGGAGAAACATTGTGGGGCATTTTAAGCATTCGCCACTTGCTCTTTATACTCACTTGGAAGATATTCAAACTGAACTGCAAATGCCTCAGAAGCGCATAAAACAAGACGTATAAATGAGTTGGAACAGTACGTTATCTATGTTTCTCTTAGCTTAATAAAGCTTTTTAGGGATGCATTTTTCATTTGTATTTACTAGTTTTTTGGGTTTTTTTTAAAAAAAAAAGAGCTCTGGTACTCATCAGCCGACACCTCTCTTCAGGTATCAGGGATCGTAGCAGCACTGAAAAAGTGGCATTAAAGTAAAAAAAGCTCGTATTGGAATCGGATCAGAACTGAAAAAAATGTGGATGGGCCCGTGCCTAGTTATTGGCATAGATGGGTTTGTAGCTGGTCAAATGCTTCCTGTATGTTGCTCTAGGTCGGTAATTATGAAAGAAAATATGGAGTACGTAGTAGTTCAGTGTTTGCTGCTTTATACAGTTCCATATCTCTCTCTGTCTCTTTGTCTTTGGAAGTGTCTATAAAAGGGCCTTCATGCCTGGCCCTACCCTGCTTTGGACATCCTAGAGGAAGCACTCAGTGGACTCCGGGGTGGCAGGATGAATGGAGGGGTGGAGCAGGCTGATATTCTCACTGTGGCTATAGTCGTCAAGGAGCGATGGAAAGTGGTAAGTTCCTGGAACCTGCGTCCCGTCTGTCCCTCGCGTTTCCCCGTCTTCAGTCGGCTCTCCCGTCCTTTCATGCTCTTCACTGCACTCTCTGCTCCCACGCTGTCTTTGCCCATCAATCGGGTGGCTAACTGTCCCTCTTTATCTGCCTTAATATCCATGTCTTAGTGTCATGTTTATCTTATGTTCGTATGTCTCATTATTTATATTTTATTCAGTAATTCTCACTTGCACTATGACCAATGAGAACAGTATTTCACGTCAGTGTATGACGCATGAAATATCTGAAGCTGACAAAAAAAAAAGATACTTTGACTTTGTCTTTCTTGTGACTTATTTCTAATGACATTTGCAGAAATGTTAACAGATAAATCATTTCTAGTGCCATGCCCATCAGCCATGCTCCTGAAGAGAGGTATCATGTATTGCATGAATTACTGTTCAGTAATTTAATGTTCAGCATTAAAAAAACTGGTTTCAGTGGTGTTTGGGATTTTAATATAATCAAGATGCTTGGGTAGGTTTCATGTAATTGCACAATTGCATTTTGTATTACATCCGGATACGATCTTTATTGACAATTGTCTTGTATAGAATAGTATCTAAAACCAGCTTAATAGGGGCTCTTTAGGACAAAGGCAGCATCCACAGAGGCTGTGTTTGCATTGTGCTGTGAGTAAAAAAATCTTGCCTCTGACTGAACTGTGTCACGGAGCTGTTCCACTACAGTGCCGAGGGTGACATTGCAGCGGCCGTCTCCGCGGCGTTAAGCATGCCTCTGCGGGCTCTTAATTTAGGTTGCAGCGCGCTATTTGCGGTAATCCCCAACCCCGCCTCTTTCGCTGCTGACAAAGTGCCGTGTGAGGTCGCTGTGTTCCTCTCCCATGGGGAAACATATTGTGCAACTCCAGCTATTGTTAATATTAGATAAAACGCTGCTTCTCTGGAGCAAAACTGGTCGAGGAGTGAGTGTTTCTTATAACAAACATAATAATTGATTTTTATTTTGTTTGTTTTTTTTCTGGCAGTGGAACAGTTCCGTGAAGAATTATTCGAAATCTAAATGCCATGACTGTACAGGTGTAGACAGGTCCCAAACCTGCTCTTTTCTTTTCAGCTGAAGAAAATTGGGGGCGGTGGCTTTGGGGAGATCTACGAGGCCCTGGACTTGCTGACGCGGGTCAACGTGGCGCTGAAGGTTGAGTCCGCCCAGCAGCCCAAGCAGGTTCTGAAGATGGAGGTGGCTGTGCTGAAGAAACTGCAAGGTGATTCCCGGGCTCGGTCACGATCATTCGCTGATTGTTCTGCTCTGGAGTAGCGCAATAAATACCTACAATAACACTTTGTTTTATGACATAGTAAACACTGATCCATCAATCTTCTAACCACTTATCCAGCTGGGTTGTAGGAAAGTCACTGGCAGCACAGGGCTGGGGTACACCCTGGACAGAATGCCAGTCCATTGCAGGGCACAAAGCAGAGACACCCTGGACAGAATGCCAGTCCATTGCAGGGCACAAAGCAGAGACNACACCCTGGACAGAATGCCAGTCCATTGCAGGGCACAAAGCAGAGACACCCTGGACAGAATGCCAGTCCATTGCAGGGCACAAAGCAGAGACTGCATGTTTTTGGATCGCAGGACAAGTGGAGTACCCAGTAAAGTATGACAGAACATGCAAACTGGGACGTAGTGGTGGACATTGTCATCTAGCTATTTTTCCCAGAAAGTAAAAATACAGACCAAGATTTTGTTTCAACCAACCAGTGGGAATTAAGGAGTCACAGAGTACTCAAGTGATTAGTTGGATCAAAATCTTGGTCTGGATTTTTACTTTCTGGACTTGAAGTGTCCATCACTGTTGGGATGTGAACTCATAACCCTGCAGGTGTCAGGTGGCCGTGTTTCTCACTGAACCACCATGCAGCTTATGGTCGATACCTTTAAGGAAAAGCTATTAGAAAATGGGGAAAGTACAGAATGAATAAACAAACATCCTATTATAAAACAAATTGCATTGACGTAACAGTTAAATGATTTTTGTTTATCTTCCAACCCCTTAATCCATTACAAAGTTTGTGGGTTTCAGTAATTTAGTAATTATAGAATATACCACTATTTGATGTGAATATTCCATCAGATTTTAAAATGTAAAGAACTGAAGTACCCTACACTAAAACAGTGCTCGGATTCTCAGAGACTTGCAGCTTCTGTGACGGGCAAAGCTCTCATGTTAAAATGGAGCCAGGCGGGATGGAGAGGCCAGTAAACATGAAGCCAAGGAGGGACATGGAGCTGCTGAAATGCTCCTTCCTGATCTCCTGTTCTGGGCAGAGACTCAGAAAAACCCATTAGGAGATTTCCAGTGGGGGAATCGTTTTTCTTTTCTTTTTTTGCCTTTGCTCACTCCCCCCATCTCCCCTCCCCCTTCTGCTCCCTAACTGGCTGTGGAAAAATCAATACGCTGGGCTCGGGTTTGCTGGCTAATAGGGGCGGTGGTCCTGAAGGCAGCGGGCTGAAAGTTGAGAGTCCCTGTCCTGGACTAACCCTGGTTCTGTGTGGCAGGAGGATTCGGCTGAAGCAGCCTGTCTCCTTCACGTCGTCCCCTTCGTCAGAGGATGTGGCTTCCATGGCAGTAACCTACTTCTTGTTGGTATAAAAGCACAGTGGAGGCCAGTCAACCTGCACATACTCTGTGGCCACGTTGTTGGGGTGTCCAACTCATCTAGCACATGACAGGGGCGCCCTCGAATATGTAAAATGAAATGGAAAATTATAGCTCATGGGACTTTTATTTGCACAAAAAATGTTTTGAGGGCAGAAAGGTGACATTTTGTGCCCAGAATTCCAAGGTATCTCGTAGGGTATACCTAAGTAGGACCATTTTCCGTTAATGACTCTTATCAAGGAGATGTTTTCATTCTGTGTAAACTCTAGACACGGCGGCGTGTAAGAATCCCACAGAGGTGGCTATTTTTGACAGGATGGAACCACCGCATCTGCCACCGACAGTCACGCCACATTGAATATCGCTTAGATCGAGCATCTGAGCTCTTCTAGCGCTTAGCCAAACAGTAACTGAACCTTTTGCCTCGCTCTGTGCGTTTTCTGTACGGAGGAGCCTGCTGCTTGTGTTAACAAGCCTGTGTACTTAATAAGCTGGCTGCCAAGTGGAGGTTGTCAATAATCCTATGCTTTAAATAGTTTTTATGTGAAACCCTTTGAAATGCGTTGTTTAGTCAGCAAGCAGAGTTCTGGCTTCTACCCCGTATTTAGTGTTTAAGGAGAAAAGCACATAAACAGCCATATACATTATTCCTACAATATAAAATGTTTTCTAGCAGATGCACAAATGTGATTAAGGGTAGTATTTCTAAATCCTGTCCTCTGGGACTCGCAGTCTGGCAGGGAGCTGGGAGGGAGCAAAAAACATGGACTGTCTGTGGGTCCCTGAATACCAGGTTGGGAAACACTGGTTAAGAGAGAAATTCCTTGTTTTGTGATCAATAAGATCTATGCAAAGTTGGCCCTTACTAAAAGTAACAAGGCTAAGCAGATAAAGGCATGTGTATATATACTAATTTATCCAGCAGTTTTTATAATTTAGGAAGTAAAATATTTTTTTTGATTGCTTACATGCCTTAATGGTTTGAATGTCCAGATTACTAGGCACACTAGATGACATCATCCACAGGAAATGGCATAACGTGGATGCGGGGGCCATAGATCTCTGTTTAAAATATCTGCCTTATTAGAGCTGAGTAGTTATTGTTGTGTGCTGGCGTGGGAAGCCTCACAGTGCTCAGTCGCTGGACTCAAGGGGGGAGTTAAGCAGGGTGTAATTTGTTTGCCTGAGCTGAATAGCCAGACCACCTAAGATGGAGTAATGTATGACAGACTTCTGTACACGTCCCATATATTTTCTACAATCTCACTCTGTGGGCTTGTAGCATCAGCCAGATTGGACCTTGGAGAAAACTCCCTGCTACCCCTTCAGTTTCTCATTTGAATATGCCTGATTTAGGGCCTGATTTAAGGCCTGATTTAGGGCCTGATTTCAGGCCTGATTTAATGCCTGATTTAAGGCCATGTTGTCTGCGTTTGCACATCTTTCACCCTCTCCTTGTTATTGTGGTATGATGAGCTCCTTACCTCCCTTTCTGCTTCATTTCCCATTTTATAGCTTATTGGTTTTATTTTATATAAATGTTTTATAGTTCATTTTATAGTGTATGGTTTTTTTATTTATGCTTCTCGCTTTACATTCTATTGGCGACCGAGAATTATGAGGGCAGAGTGAGTGAGAGGGGCCCTTCCGTGGTCTCCATAGGGATTGGCGTGGAGACTGGCTGGCTGCCCTCTGGGTCCCTGAGGAGCTTTAAATACGGCCTGTAAATCTGCTGGGCGACAAGCAGGGGGGGTCCAGGCCGAATGGGGGAGGGGTGATGGGGGGGGGGTGGGAAGCATGCTATGGCCTCTGAAAGAAGTACATTTGTTGACAATGGGTGCCCCGTTTCCCCTTCCCCAGGAAAGGACCACGTGTGCCGCTTCGTGGGCTGTGGCCGCAACGACCGCTTCAACTACGTGGTGATGGAGCTGCAGGTATGGCTCGCTGGCCCGGCTCCGTCCCTCGGTACCCCCATGTGGGCCCCCCCTTGTGTGGCTGAGTCTCCAGTCTAAGTGAGCTGCCGTCCGTCCATAGGGTCGGAACCTGGCGGACCTACGGCGGAGCATGGCCCGTGGCACCTTCACGGTGAGCACCACGCTGCGGCTGGGCCGGCAGATCCTGGAGGCCATCGAGAGTATCCACTCGGTGGGCTTTCTGCACAGAGACATCAAACCGGTGAGAGACGGGGTGTGATGCAGACGCACGAGGTGGATATGCAGGATCACGGCTCTGGTGCATTCATCTGTTGGTTTTCTTCTTCCCCTAGTCCAACTTTGCCATGGGCCGGTTCCCCAGCACGTGCCGGACCTGCTATATGCTGGACTTTGGCCTGGCACGTCAGTTCACCAACTCTTGTCAAGAAGTTCGGCCGGTCAGTGTCCCAGCTTCCACTCCTGTTTTTCTTCGTGGTCGTAGATCAGTGTTTCTCAAATCGGTCCCCCGAGATCCCCAGACAGTCCACGTTTTGCTTCTTACCAGGGACTGAGAGGGAGCAAAAATGTGGATTGTCTGGCTGGGAGGTGGGGCGGAGCAAAAACGTGGACCGTCTGGGGTCCCCAAGGACCGGGTTGGGATAAACCGATATAGATGGTTTGTGTCGCGTGTGTAGAGCTGTTACTGGACAGCGGGTTAGGGCACTGGGCCAGTCACCAATTCAAATTCGCAGTTGGGCTGTTCAGCAAGACCCTAACCCATCAAATGCTCCAGGAATTGCCTGACCCTACTTTCAGTTGCATGTTTAGATAATTATAACTGTAATTGTAATTATCTTCCTTGCTGATCTGGTCTGTATTTTGTTCCCTTGTAGCCTCGCCCTGTGGCCGGGTTCCGGGGGACTGTGCGCTATGCATCCGTCAACGCTCACCAGAACAGGGTACGTTCATGCACTCATCCCTCTCCCACGCTCCTGCTTCCACGCTGCTACTTCTCAAACTATTCTTCAGCTATTTTCACCTGCTCTGTGCTGACATGATCCTGGCGGTGGGGCTTATCTCTCCAGGAAATGGGTCGGCATGACGATCTCTGGTCCCTCTTCTACATGTTAGTAGAGTTCATAGTCGGCCAGCTGCCTTGGAGGAAGATCAAGGACAAAGTAAGTTCTGAGGACACTCCTGTGATGATGGCTGTCTGGAGACGTTAATTAAGGTGATCCGTGTGCGTGTGCGTGTGCGTGTGCGAATCCCTGATTCTGTTACTCCCGCAGGAGCAAGTTGGCAAGCTGAAAGAGACCTACGACCATCGGCTCATGCTGAAACATCTGCCTTTGGAGTTCAGTGTATTCCTGGACCATATCTGTAGCCTAGACTACTTTACTAAACCTGACTATCAGGTAAAAGGTTTAGTTGATGCTTATATCCCATAATAATTTTTCCGATGCAAACCGCCACATCTGCGCCACTAATGTCTGTTAGTGCTGTATTTGTGAACAGGTCTGGGACACTCTTAACTGATTGTAACTGGTTTGTTGCAGCTATTGATGTCAGTGTTTGAGAACAGCATGAAGACCTACAATGTGGTAGAGAACGACCCATATGACTGGGAGAGGAGCACGTCGGATGGGACCTTGACCATCAACACCACGGCAACCACACCGCAGCACCACACCCGGCTCACGCCAGCGCACATGGGGTATGACGTCATCAGCACCCCAGTCCCCAACAGCCTTGGGGTTTCCTCCTGCTCTGCTAAGCTTATCAGAAGATTGTTAAATATGCCGAGATTTACATTTCTCAACAAATCACATCGTTGGGCATAGTTTTCAAAACTGAAAATAAAATATAATTTATCACCCTATTAGAAATAATCTCCATGATGGTACCAGCATGCAAATTATCATAAATGAACTATACCTGTGTTGTCTGTTAGGCCCAATGGATACTTTATGTGAGAGATTAAAGGGCACCAGACTTTACAGAAGCAATTATTCCACATCAGATTAGCTTCTCTACAAAAGTGCAACCACGAATTAGAAGCAAGACTGAGCCCCAAACCATTATGTGACCAGCAAAATTTTTACCCTACAGTACTGGTGATGTTTTGTCCCTGTGCAGGATGGCAAATGCATCCTTAGTCCCAGGAGACCTGCAGAGGGAGAACACAGATGAGGTTCTGCAAGATGAGCAGCTGAGCGATGGGGACAACAACTGTCTCCCTGACAAGCAGGTGGGCCTGCCCCTGTGCCCCCAGGAGGCCGACGTATGGGAGGAACGGGACCGTAACCGCAACCGGATCCGCCCCATCGTCTGGAAGGTACAACCCGCTTGCATCCGTGACCAAGAGAAATACAATAACTCGACATTGACTTTTGCGTCAACGACCTTCCCTTGTCACTTTGGGACATGACATGGTAAAATGTAAATATGAATAGCATAAATAGCAAAAGCTTTCTGTTTGGAACATGCTGTCTCCTTCCCATCACAGGCGTTGTTTAACCCAGAGGTTTCCAGACTGGGGGCCGTGAAATTACCACGGCGGGGGCTCATCCCGACAGCTGAATCATCATTCATTTCACTGACAAAAACTATGACGAAAATTCATTGACAAAAGATTTTTCAACGACAGAAATGAGATAATATACAATTATATTATGGCAAAATGTACTGATACTCTCATCAACAAATAAAAACAAGATGAAAAATCTTCTTACCTGCAACGGGGAACCTGGTAGACAGACAAAGTCTGAGAACCACTGACTTCACCTCTGACCACCTCCTTTGCTTTTCTCCCCCAGGCAGCGACGGAAGAAGAGCATAGCCAGAACCAAGGCAACCAGAGCCCGTATGCCGGGCCCAGCCTGGGTTCTCCCGTGCGGGTGAGGTCTGAGGTGGTGCCGTCGGATCTGGACGCGCCACTGCTTAGGAAACTGCGTAACATCCACAGCTTCGAGCTGGAGCGGATGCTGACTCTGGAACCCAAACCCAGCACCGATCGCTTCCTGGAGACATGGTCAGTCCCAGTCAGCACCCCAATCCGTTATGGCTTAGGCATTGAGTATTAATCATGTCTGTTTTGTTGCTGCTTTTTTCCTTGCTTTGTCCCTTAGCAGATTTAGCTCACAGTTATCCACATTAGTCTTTAATTCCACTATGAATTATTCCTAAATAATTTCAGAGGTTACAATAAGAAGGCCTTAGGTCTCGAACTTCACTCTACCCTAATATTAAAAGCCTGCATTCCTAGCCCAGAACATTATGCACTGCTCTTAAAATGCTCGAGTGGGTTCAGAAAAACCTGCTATGTTTAATAAGTTGTCAATAATTACAAAAACCATCTTTATTTTGAATCTAAATGCTTCTAGGAAATGCACCCTTAGGATGATCTGAATATAGTAATGTAATTCATAAATATTAAGTATCTTAGCCCTGATTTATTAATGTGAGATCTATTATTAATGTCAAAAAACAACTCTTTATGGTAGAAGTTACTCAACAGAAGGCCATTTAGTCTCAACAAGCTGTATCACCATGTTCTTCATTATTTTTGCATTATTTTAACTTTTGGGAACGTTTGGAAAAGTTGAATTTCACCTGATGAGAGCCTTTGACTGCTACTTAAAAAAGCAGCTTTTCTGTATGTTAACTCCGACGCTTGCTTTACGTTCCACCTTCTCCCTCTGCTTCTGTCACCCGGCCAGTTTAGGGAAGCCGCAGGATAGAGACAGTCAGGCTGGGTTGGGTCTGACTGTTCCCGGCACGCGCGGGGAACACGTGTGGCATTACGACGAGGAGTTCGTGTCAGGGGGGGGCTCCCCCAAGCCTGGCTCTCTGGGCTCACTGGAGCAAGGAGAGGGAGCGGCTAGCAGTGGCTTTGTGGCTGTGAATCTGAGCTCGGGCCAGCAGGATGTGGATTCCCGGGAGTGGGTGGTGATCGAGCGCGGACGGGACCTCCAGGATTTTGGGTCCAGTGGGACCGGCCACCCCAACGGCATCAGGGTCTCCAGCAGCCCCTCAGAGGAGGAGCCAGAAATATTACAACCAGGCAAAGACACATCTAGTGGGGGTAGGGGTAGCAATGGCTCTGCCCCAGTACCCATAACCACCTCTAGAGGCGGAGCCAAAGTGGAGAGGCTGGACCTGAGCATGATGCACCCTGGGAACCTGCCTGCTGTGACCCCCACTAGCCCAGCGGAGGCCATGGCTGAGGGCATCCTCACCCAGGTAAGGGCCAGATCTATGACCGGAGCCACGAGATTTAGTGGGCCTGGTTTGAGTTCTGCGGCGAGATCTGTAAAGTTCACAATGGAGTGGATTCTGGTTACGTACATGCTTCTCTAAGCCTTTGAGCAGAGCAATATGTAGTTACTTATACATTCCAAGTGGTATAGCGAGTACAGAACATTACTACAGGTCTGGTCAGTACTGCTTGTTAAAATCATAATATCTTTAGGTGTTATGGGGATATCTGGGTACAGTAGATATTTATTGACATCTGTATTATTTGGGCAGCCTTTGAATTGAGAGTGTCAGTGAAGGTCTCAGTGCTAGAAAACGTGGCGTCTTTGCTAGCCAAGGTCTCTAGTTCCAGAATATTCAGTTAGGTTGGGTTCTTGGGCCCTCGGGTGGATTTTTCATAAATCTGGGGCATCTGTGGTATTTAAGTACAGTATGTGACCAAACTCAGCGGTGGTGGAATGTTACTATTGTTGGATTTTGCTGCCACCGATTCCCTGAACTGAGTGTTTTTTTGAACGTTTTAAGCTATATGCTTTATTACTTCATACTTTGTTGCTGCGATTTCTCTGCTTTTTCTTTTATCGCTGATTTTGAAAGACATTTTTCATGCTCTTAGGACTCCTTACCAACCCCTTATCAAATCCAATCATCAGATGCCCGAAAAAGAACACATTATATGCTTCAAAAGGTTATTCTCCATATTTACGTTTTCTGATCTTGTTTACATATTGCATATTTATTTATATAAAGCATATCAACTGAATAGTGTTAATATTAACACTAAAGTATAATAGTATTATGACTTGTTAACATTATTAAAAGCAGATAGGCTTCACTGATTCATATCTGTTTAAACAGCAATGACAGCTGCATACTCTAGACTGTATGAAAAATGCCTTTAATTCAGCTTATATTGCTGATGGGTCTGCTAAATCTCTTTATTTAACATTGCTTGAGCATTTGCTTTTCAACAAACCATCACCTTGCTTTTATCGTGACATTCTCAAAATCAAAGCCTTCCTCAGTCTGCGTATCTAGCTGTGTCGACTCTGTCGAGGATGATCTTTCCGCGTCTCTGAAACCTCCTGCAATATGCTTCTATGCACCAGTATATTAACAATTATAAGCAATAAGATTTTATATGCTAGTTTACGTGATATTGCAGAGGTGAGACCACACATTAATTCTACATTAAGCGAAAACAGATTAAAAAGATATTAGACATGTCAGATGCTTGTAGATACAGTCCTAGCTAAATTTGGGATGCTGTAGGCCTTCAGGAAGTCAGTACAGACCAGCCCTGAGCTCTGAGTTACTCTCTCCATCAGCTAAAACATTCCGTCCTGTTCCTTGAGGGCGTGATGAGGGAGATGAAAGGTGACTCCATCCTTCTCAGGGACATGCACTTGTTGCAGATCCACCTGAATATTAATGTCACTCAGCTCCTGCTGAAAATACGACGGATCCAGATGCCGGTGCATCGCTATCTGGTCTCAGAAGAGTAACGCCTCCTAGAGCTTGGGCATAAAATCTAGCAGGGTGGGGGATTTATGATTATGTTGTTAGGAAATTTTAGCTTTTGCCTAATTTGGGGGGAGGGGGCCAGTTTAGCGTTGTGGACCACCTCCTGCACACAGCTACTTTCCCGCGGTACGCCCCCTTCCAGTCATCCCATTAAGAGCCTAAATGTCTGCTGCTATCTTCCCACCGCTTTTCCCCAAACCCCCCCCCCCCCCGCCCGCCACAGCTCCCCACCTCTCCCCGGTCCCTCCCCGAGGAGCTGGTCGCCCGGACCTCCAGCCCCCTGTTCCTCCGCTCCCCCAGCCCACACACCCTCCTGACCACCCTGTCGGACCCTCTGCACCAGCGTGCCGGCAGCCTGCGGCGCAGCCAATCAGCCGAGCAGCAGCGTTCCCCCCCCGGCCGTAGGAGGCTGCCCGCCTTACCTGCGGCCGTGGCCAGCGCCAAGCTCCCCTCTGTCATTCGCATCACTCGGGCTCAGCTGCAGCAGGTGAACACCACCTCCTCCACCACCCTCCCCTCCTGTTTTCTCACCCCCCCCATTTCACTGTGCTTTTGAACGGCTGCAGGAAACATGCGACCCTCTTTGACATGCTGAGCATGCTGCCATGTTAATGGTGTTTCTCCCTCAGGCTTGTGTAGGATCGGTGCACAGGGCCCCCACACACATGGCTGTGTATAATGTGTGCGGTCGTGGTTATGGAAATCATGGTGACTCCTCTCATGTATTGATTGCCCCTCTGGTTTCCCTCCTGTTTCTATACTCCTCTTCTTCTTTGGTGTGGTTTTCTGCCTGCTTGAGATCCGATTCTCTCATTGGTCTGTCCTTTCATCTTTGCTGTACATTTCATATTTATTGGGAGTTCGTTTGGTCATTAGTTACTAATTCTGTCTGTTGCTAGTCATGGGTCTGTATGTGATCATTTCGTATTCTTTGCTGTGGTTTTGTAAATGGCGTTAAAGGTGATTTCATAATGCGAGCGAGCTGTGTGACTTGTTTGGTTGTATTTTATGGTTTCTCCTGCGAATGCTGTGTCTCATCATTTGAGTGTCTTCTGCTTGGTCTTCTCCGTGTGCTTCAGTGGTCCAAAGGTCCAGGAGCGCTGAGGAGCGCTTTATTTCTCAAACCCCTTACCGGAGTGGCTATGCCTGCTTTTCGTTCTCCTTCCTCCTCCTCCTACAGCTGACGGTGCCGCGTCCCTCTGTGCTGTCCTCCCAGTCTGCCTCTGACAGTGTGCCACAGTGCCTCCTGCTGGAAAAACGACACACTGACCTCCAGCCCCTAGACAGCACAGCTGACCTGCACTCCCCCCAAGAGCGCCCACCCACCCAGCCTGGGAGCCCCAGCGACCCCCTTGGGGACAAGCTCTTGAATGGAGACGCCTTCCAGAAGGCGGGCAGCCCTGTGCTGAGCCTGGCCTCCTCCCCCCGCTCCCCCCGTTCTCCCCGCTCCTCCCGATCTCCCCGGTCTCCGCAGTCGCCACGCAGCCCCATCTTTGCCAACGGCCATCTGTCGCCCCCAGTGGCGCCGGAGCTGAAGGACCCTGAGAGTGACTCTGGGTATCCTGACCGCTCCACGGAGCCCAATCCACAAACGCTGGAGGAGGTGGATCGAGGCGGAGTGGAGAACACCGGGCAGAACCTGTCGCCCCCGCCGCTGACGGCGCGCAGAGACCCCGCCCGGCGGCTGAGTCGCATTCCCATCCTGGAGCCGGGCAGCCTGCTGGACTCCCCCCCCCCTGGCTCTGCCAAGGAGAAGCTCCTACAGAAGAAGGCCCACCACCACGGCACTACGCCTTCCTCACCTTCACCCTCTCCATCCCTTTCCTCCGACAAGCGCCCCCCTGTGGCCACGCTGCCACGGGACCCGCTGTCCTCCACGTCTGACCGTTCCCAAGACGACGAGTCTTACCTGGGGTCCCGCTCTGACCGCCAGGGGGACGACGCCCCTTCTCTCTCCTCCTCATCCAGTCCGCTGTCCCGCAAAAGCAAGATCCCGCGGCCCGTGGCCCCCCTGCCGGTGCCGGAGCGTTTTTCTGCCCAGTTCTTCCCCCGCCCCCCCCCAGGGAAGCCCCCCAGCCGGTCTGTTGTCGATGGCAGGTGAGTCTGCTCCTCGCACTTACTCTGCAAATGTACTGCAAGTAGCCAGACACTGTCACATGACATGAGTGAAATGACGGTGACAGCTGATTGTGTCAGTCAGAGAGAGGGATGATTAGATCACCCATTATCACACTGTTCTACGCGGTGTGAGGTCACGTTAAGCCACTGTGCCACGATACTGATAAATATGATAGCTAGTGTCTGTGCGGCAATTTTAATATTTTGGGTTTTTTTTAGTATATAATTTCATCACTCTTAATTTCTCTGTAGATTTCATTTTAATTTGAATATATTTATAGATGGCAGTTTGCACCAAGAAATCTCTAATTTTCTGCTCACTTAGAGCAGAACATAAAGTAATTTAAGCTCTGCTCAGTGCTCCTCCTCGTCCCTCTCACATGGTGGGTTAGTTTGATGGTGATTTGTGCTGGTGTTGGAATACAGGAACATGCAAGTGCTAAACTGACTTAAGTCAGTTTTGTTCCTGGTCCATTTTACCATTATTTTCCCGTGGTATTATTATTAAAAATACCCCTCGTCTCACTTCATCCGTGTTAGGCAAAGCCGGCACTGTCTTCTCTGGGGCTTTACTGCTGAGGCCTCTTCCAAGAAAACTGGTCGCCATTTCACTTCCTCCACAAAGCCAGTGGATCAGGGGTCGTGTTCAACTGCCTGTTCTGCTTGCAGCAAGACCCCTGATGTTAGGAGTTTTGGATTATGGCCACTTATCTTATGCTCTGAGAGCTAGTTTTAGCTAAGTTTTACACGTCGTCGTCGACTTACGACCTCGATCGGTTCCGACCGACAGGACACAAGTCGGCCCTTTATTAAATACGCAAAAATTATAAGTAATAAAATTATACTCTGCATTGTCTTTGGGTTATATTGTTTGGTGTTTTTTAAACTTTTTGTTGCCATTTTCTTAGTTGGTTGCTGCCAGCAGTTAGGGCAGGATTTGTCATACAGTGAGGCTGGACGGCACTCGCCCTGCCAGACGCGCTGCAGTGACGGGCTCGGGTTTGCCGTCTCAAAACGATCGATCAGTCATAAGTTGCATAGGTCGTGCTTTTAAATGAGGGAAACAACGTCCCCTTTTGTTATTGTGTCTCAGTGTGTGTATAACTCTGCTCAGGCCAGAAGCTGGAGCGCCATAGCGGGGGTGGAAGTTAGGACAGTTCCGAGCCCCCCTGAGTTACACGGGTCCTAGATGTTTTGGAACATAATCAGATTGCTCTTAAGTTGGGGGTCCAATTTGATACGCTTTCATAGGACCCAGAATGTCTCGCAGCACCCTTGGCCACAGGTACTGTAATCAGCATTTCGCTTCCCTCTTTCTGCCGTCTCTCCTCCAGGCTACGGCGGTACCGCATCCGTGCCGGTAGCACCAGTGATTCTGATCTCCTCACCTGTCTGGCCCAGCTGATGCATAATGGTTCTCCAGTGCGAGGATCCTACTACGGCCGCTCGTCACTGCACGGTGGCTTCCGGGGCCCCTACGGTGGGCCGTGCGCTCCCCAGCGCAGCGCCAGTGCCTCCCCGCGCGGCTCCTTCTCCCTCCAGCGCTCCTCCAGCTCCTCCCCCTCCCGACACGAGCTGCGGGGGGGCGGGATGGGAGGCGGGCCCGGCGGCTGCTTGAGCCGAAGCCGTTCGCCGCCCAGCTTCTCGGGGTCGCCGCCGCTGCGCCGGGCCTACCCTCAGGAGGGCTGCTGTGGCCGGCAGGCGCGCTCAGGGTCCTGCTACAGCCCCCGGGGCAAGAGCTGCAGCCGTGAGGGCAAGTGCCCCAGCAAGCTCAGCAGATAGTGCCCCCACCGCAGTGCCGTCGAAGCGGAGGATGGGAACAATAATGCTGATGTCTGTGTTGGGGGGGGGGGACCATGGCTTTTATTGAAGCCAGTCTTGATGGATGTTATCAGAACATTTTAGAGGTTTTCTCACCTTTCTCCTTACATCACAAATAATGACTGCATCTCTTTCTGCTCTTCCTGTTCTGCTGATGTCTCCTTTGGCATTCCTTTGTTTTCTGGGATTCCTTCATCTCCTACATGCTCTTATTTAAAACCTTGCTTGAGTGAAAGCTTGGTAACACTTTACTTAAAGCACTCATTTATAATGCATTTTAGATACCTTCGTAACGCATTATAATGCATTCATAAAGTATTATACACATGGCTATAACTATTTATAAAAAGGCATAACATATTATAGCCATGTTTATTGTATGCTCTATGAAGCTCTCATCTTCCTCACCTGACTGGCCCAGCTGATTCATAATGGTTCTCCTGTCCGAGGAATGTATAATTCACTATATCTTCATAATGCATTATAATGCCTTATGCTAACCATTATAATGCATTACGAAGGTGGTATGAATGCATTATAATGCATTATTTAAGTATTTATAATGCATTATGATGACTGCTTTAAGTAAAGTGTTACCAAAAGTTTTTCTGTTTGCAAACAAAGCTGTATATCCTGGCTTCTTGATCCACATTTTATTTATTATGCATACACTATTTTGTAAGTGACATACCTGTTTGAGATAGCAGGGACAGACAGGCTCTGAAGCAATTTGGGCGTTAAGTATTGGGCAGCCTCTCCAAAGTGACTCAGAGTGAAGTTCCCCCTAATAGGGCCTGAGCATGGGCAGGGCGTCTGGGGTCGCTACCATACTCACATGATATACTACCATACTCATATGGTATACTACCATACTCACTTAATATAGATGCATATATAGGCATAGAAATCTGATTTAGCTCAGACCTCAGTTCTACCGTAGGATGCAAGTGAATATGTATTTATTGAACTGTATGTATAATGCATTGTCAAATGTATAAAAACATTTAGGTATTTACTGACTGCATGCTGTACTGGTAGCGTTCATCACATTCAGTTAGTCTGCTAATGTGTTGTCAGGCAGTGAGTGCATGGGCATGAGTGACCGGGGGCAGAAATCCACCTTAAACACCTTGTTTGTAGATCCCTGCTCCTTGCTTATGTAGGCATTTGGACATTGGACATCACCTTTATGTTCTGAGGACCTGTGCAAAGAGGCTGAAGGTAGTTAGGGCTTATTTTGCCCACTAGGACAGAACTGGGCTCCATGCTGCTCCCATGTAAGAAATAATGGGGCTTCACTCTGAGTGCTGTGCGGTTTAGAGGCCTTAGATATTAGACACAATGTATTCCATGTAATGATTCATAGGTATCAAAATAAAAGTCTCTTACAATATTTTATGCAGAATTTTATTTACATGTGTGACTTCTGTCTAGGACAGGGGAAAAGTGGAATCCAAATTATTTGGAGTCTCAGATCCGCCTTGTGCTGGCGCCTGCCCAGGGTTGGGTCCCGCCTGCGCCCATTGTTCCCAGGATAGGTTCTGGTCCCCCCCGCGACCCCAGTTGGGATTAAGCGGTTTCAGAAAATGGAAGGATGGCTGCAGTCTCAGACTTGTTGTATTGCTTTCAATTAAAATGATCACTGTCGACACAGAGTAAAACTATTTGTTTGTAGCTGTTTTTCTTTCCAGAGCTAAAGTTTTTTTGGTTCTCTTTGTCCCTAATTTAAAAAGACCGGAAGACATTTGAATACTGACTTCCTTTTGGAATTACTGCTTTTTTATCTTTTACTGTAAATGTGTAATTTACACTTGAAGCCATTAAGAAGCTACTGTAAGAGTTTACTTAAGAAACATCACGTTTATAATGAGGTGGAGCTCAAATGGAAAACACTAATTTTCAAAGTAGAATTTTTGTAAAGACTGATAGTACAACATGCCATGTGTTTCAAGGAAAGGCTAAAACCAGAATTTTGAAGGCCTTATTATTGATTTTCGGATAAATATTAAGTTAAAACAGGGTGGAAATCTGCTTCCTTTAAGAGAGCTGCAGTTTGGTTTGCATTGCGAATGGTGCAGCATTTGAGTGTTATGGGCCTCTTACCTGCTCAGATGTGATTCTGTTGTACTTGCACTATAAAGAGGCGTTTTTGCTTTTTCTTCCTTTTTAATTTTCTTATTTTAGTCACATCGAGACAATTCATTAGCAAAATGATAGTTTTCAGAGAAATGTCCACCTACTCATAAACCTGTACCCTGTACATGTAAGATACTGTAATATATATTCTGCTAGTTACTCCTACTCTTTGCATGCTCTACACATAAAGAAAAATAATACAACATGCCAGTCTTCATATGCTTCATCCATTTTGAGTGTAAGTTAGGAAAGCATTCATATATATGTAGACACTGTTATTTTAAGTAACATAGTTACTTTTAGTTTCTGATTGGTCAGTTCTTCCAATCACGTGATTGATTAGTATCTCCCACTACTTTTCCTCCACTTTCTCGCTGTACATCTCACTCCGCACTTTTCCCCAGTTGTAGCTGTGTCCCTTTCAGGTTTTCCTGTGGTGTGCATCAAAGCAAAACTCCAGGGCTTGTACTCTGCTTAAAACGGCGATAGATTTTGCACTAACCGAATTCATGTATGGTAAACATTTGGGATACCTTCATACCTTAAAAATACAACGCAAGAATGATCATTTTATTAGCATTAATCCAATACTGTGTGAAACTTACATGAACTGAATATAATTCTTTGTAACTTAGAAGTTAGATTGTATTATATCTATTGGAATGAGCTGGACTTTAAGACTTCAAGAGGTGACTCAAAACCAGCAGACCTCTGTGGTTTTTGAGGACTGCAGTTTGCCCTGAGGATTTGTGTACTGTAGTGGATATTGGGTTTTGTAGTCCATTATGCAGTTTGCTGCTTTACTCGGCATTAAACGGTGTAGTGACACATTTACAGAGAATGGCATCGCCTCTGTAAAACAGTTAACATATAGTCCCAGTGAGATGAAAATGCTTCTTTGATCTTTTGGTTACTGTGTTCAAAGAACTTTTCCTGGAAATTTGGAGTGAAATGTACTACTTCAATGAGCACTGTGACATGGTTGTTCTCTGCAACTATACCAACAATTCCAGGTTTTCGGAGATGGTGACAGAAAGGAGTGAAGTACTGGTAGTTTTCTGTCACCTGTAGTCCAACGTCAACATGGACACAGTTTGATAGAGTTGTGAATTGGAATGTGTTTTATATTTATGAATAACTAAATAAGAGTAATCATAGTACAACACAGTGCTAAAAGGAAAGGAAATGTCTGAAAAGGGGAATTTACAGCATATGATATTTTATCTATTAAATATTTCTGGACTGTGTTGTCAGTCACTTGCATACTTTTACATAACAACTTGATTATTGTTATTAATTAAACAGAAACTCGATTATGTGTTTCATTCAGGTCATAAAAGTATCCCACCATCTATGTAATAGTTGGGAGTTACAATGACATCCCGTTTTAGAATTTTTTGTATTTATAAAGGTTACATTTCCTCTGATTTTTCTCTCGAATTGTGATCTTAGCAGCCTTAGATTTTGTAGCTGTAGTCTCTTAATGAAAAGAAAGGAGTGTACTGTATGTGTGTGTCACTGAGAAAATGAATACCCACTGAAAAATGTATTTTTGAAATCTGAAAGCCTGGTGGTCAATTTCCATTGCGTGTTTTTAACCAAATTCCATTCAGTCCCATTCACAATTGGTATGATTCTGAGCACTTTGGCTATTTGTGCTCTAAACGGCAGGTCTATAGCCACAGTGTAGTCTGCTTCCTACACATCTTCACTGGAGACCATAATAATGGTCCACGTTCCAGGCCCATTTTGGGAGAAAATACCTCTTGTATTATTCTATTGATAACAATTGTATCTTTTAATGTAATATTTACTAATGATCCATCAGTATACCTACTGCCTGTATTAGTTAGACCTGTATTAATTTGATTAATTTCCTATAATGGTAGTATTGTTTTGAGTCATGTTACAATGTTACAATGATAAAATGTAACTGTACAGCTATAAGGTAGGAATGTAACAAGCTGAGGAACTACAGTGTACATAACTGTAATTATTTATGTTTATTTTTCATCTGTATCATATCAATGCCTTGTACAGTGGTTTTGTTTGTTTTCAAATTATTTTGTATTTTATTTTTATAAACTGGTTATAAATAAAAATATTCATTCCGCATGCTGACAAAATCGTCTACATTTACTCTTTGTATTCTTAATTTAGTACATTAATTCAGCACGAAATAGACCATCGCTATTTTTATTAATATCCCAAAACTGTCTGGTGATCTAGTTATCTTAGATTCTTTCTAAGAAGTAGCTGATCGTGTGATCGCTTCTCTTTCACCGATGCATGGCTGCTGTCTTTATCAGGAAAATGCTCCATTCAATTTCTGCCTGGCGTTTTTAACCAGAAACGCTCATCCGAAGATCTTTAGCTAGAAACTATTTGAATGGGATGGATGTTAGTCGTTGTTAATACACGAGGAATGCAATGTATTTATTTCAGAATATCTATTGCGATGGGAAACCCTACTAACAATCTTTCCTACAGTATCTACATGAAACCTAAGGACGTGTTAATGTTGGCCTACTGTAATACCCGGGTTTTTAATTTGACAGTTACGTAAAATTTTCCACGGAAAAAGATATGCTGAACATTATAAGGAATAGTCATATACAATAATTTGGGACCTATATAGGAACAAGAGTAGTAGAAATCGAGCAGTGGACAATGTCGTGCACTTGATTCTGTATTAGAAATGATCTGTGTAAATTTATCGCGTTTACAATCGCGGGCAAGCGTTTTAATATTACATCCATTATTTTACGTAAGCTGTAACTCGCATATAGGGAGCCCAAACGCATCGACAGTGAAGCGCGCTGCCGAGTGCATTGCGGCAGCGTATAGCGTGCGCGCTCCCGACCGCGGCTCCGGCCCTGTCAGCCCCAGTCACGGCGGCGCGTGCTCAGTACAGAATGGCGGCTCTTTTGGAATCGCTGCTACAAAAGAAGGTGGAGGCGGAGGAGGCCGTGCGGTGGCTCAGGCACGGTCAGGTCAGTAAGGGAGCCGCGGGGTCGCCGGGGACGCTCAGCTGTGTCTCGCTGACAGTACTGCGAGAAAAATAGGAAGTGACATGTATATTAACGACATGCACTTCTGTGCTATAGATTGCCATGTCCAGTTTGAGAGATGGCTAAAGCCTGATTAGCTAGCTTGGAGCTGGTTAGGTTATCTATTTAGCTTTCGTCTTAACAAGTTGTGGGCATAACAGCTAATTAATAAAATAGCATCATGCATTGAAAACAGAATACCACGAGTTCGGATAAATATACACCTCCGCTTCTGAATTGATCTTAGTTGCAACACACGTATAACTTGCTACTAACTGAAGTATTTAATGTTCTGTTTTCTGGCGTTTCTCCCTTTTAACTTACAGTACGAATGAGTATTCGGATACAATGATGCCTCGCTGAATTAAACTAGTACAGCTTACTTATATACGGAATACGGAAATGTTGATTTTCTGATCGTTTCGATTCTAAAAAGTGACATGACACTATCTCAAAGCGTTTTTCATCATTTGCGGCGTAAGGAGTACAAGGTATCAAGGAGGTACAGCAGAACGCCTAGTTAGCAAATCTTTGCAGAGATGGGGCCACAAAAATGTCTCGTTTGTTTGGTACATTTGTTTTAAGAAAGGTGAACCCTGTCTGAGTGTGTTTAGGGTCCTGCGTGTGCATGTACTTTATTTATTGTGTGTGTTTTGGCAGCAGGGTGAAGAACTCTCCCGGTGTAAGGCCCTGGTGATAGAAAGGCTGCAGAGACAAGAGTTTGTACCGTTTCTTTTGAACTTCCTGAGGGAGCAGAGCAGTCATGCCCTGGCCAATGGGCCAGCCACCCCTGCAAAGATGCCAGGCTCCTGCCCCATTCGTACCCAAGGTTTCTCCAGTGAGCGTAGGGGATGCAAGATTGGCACCGGCTCTGGACTCCGTAGTACCAGCCGGGTACAGCTGTTTTCTCCAACTCCCTCGCTTTCCCCCGGGAGTGGCACCGAGGGGGATAATCCACAGGGGGCCCTTAGTGGCATCAGTGCCATGAGCAGTCCATCCTTCAGCTCGGGATGGAGTCCTGGCCCCAGAGCGCCCCCTTCAGAGCGCCGCTCAGAGCAACGGCCCAGCCTGGGCGACTTTATGCTGTCGCCGCCAGAGGTGCAGGGTCACATGTCACAGCGGCGTGGACGGCGGAGAAGCAGCGGGACAGTGGCCCACCAGGGGCGGCAGTCGGGGGGGCGTGGCTGGTCTGATGATGCGGGGAGGAGGAGTGCTGGCGGGGCGGGGGGCAAGATGAACACCTCGTTGTCGCCTACGATTGTCCAGTTGAACTTCAACAACCTGGAGGATTTCCCGCCGGTTGGAGCATCTACTCCCTCGCCAGTGTGAGTAAATACACATTATTTCTATACTTGTATCATTCTGATTTACTTACACTGCATGCTCTTGTATTAGACACTAGAGCTGTAATAGTGCACATACTCGTCATGTACGGTACGCACAATGAAGTGAATGAATATGTTTATTGACACGTGGGCGGGTCCTAAATTCACACTAGATTTTCAGCACAGAAATAATCATGCTAATTGTGGCGGTGAGTTGTTTACAGTCGCTCATTATCGGCAGTTAGTGGACATTTTAGTTTCCCAATAAATTATACTGACATTGGATGGAGAGTAGCTGACAAGACTGTCTGTTGGCTCTGTTATACTGAACTCGGATATGTTGCACCCAGTGTGAGAACTTATTTGTGCATACAACCAAAGTAAAGGCAGAAGCTGCGTCTGCAAATCGGTGTTCCCTTGGCATTTAATGCACATTTGCCAGAAAATTAAGACCAGGCTAAAAAAAAAAAATTTAAATCACGACAATAGTGGTGTTTATTGCTACAGATACGCAAAGATACTCGGTAGCAGAGAACACAGGATTTAGTTCATTGTAATGATGATGTTATATTTGTGATGTTTTTCTTTATTTCACATATTTATTTTTGCAATGTGTGAATAAGCATCACTTAGGTTTCGTTATTCAGACGCGTTGACATTGCCTTTGGTTTGCAGCTTTATAATTGTATTTGCAGTTTTAATAATAAATAACTTTGCAACAAATTCTGTTTTCCCTGCTGTAATGAAATTGCACTGAACTGCGAACCCAAAACTGAGGTTTGTACTGAATCGTCAATATTGTCGACCGTTACGCCCCTAATAGACACATTATGTTAATAATAATTAAGCTGCTGGTGATTGTGTTTGTTTCTCCCAGGTTAATCAAACCATCTCGCCGCATCAATCCCACCCCAGTCAGCGGAGAGCGTCCGCTCTCCAAGCCCAAGAACTGCTTCACCTCCACCCCCTTCAGAGAGCCGTCCATCCCTGCCACCGTCCCGGGGGGAGCAGAGGCAGCGACGCAGGTTGCTGGGGGGCTACACAGCCTGGAGGAAGAACGGGAGCTGCTCAGGAGAGAGAAGTACATGACGTGCCGGGCTGGGGGGGGGCCTCATGCGTACGCCCTGTGTTCAGTCTCCGCAGGGTCGTGTGCATAATGCTTTTCAGTCATTGCCCCTGTTTGGTCGCTCCAATCCTTTGCATGTTCACTCTCCATAGTTTTTAAAATTTACACCAAACTCAGGTGTTATATATAATTTTATAGGACACGAATGCACCAATACCAGTTAAAGCACTTTGGGACAGCAAGTGGTTGACTGTAAATGTGCTATATAAATAAACTTGAACTTCATAAGATAATGCTGAAAACATAACCTCTCGATGTACTTATTTAGGGTTACTTAATTAGGATTATGATCTAGCTGAAAAGTCATTTTCAGTAGGTGTGTCCAGACTTTTGACTGGTGCTATATAAGAATGAATATTATTAACATCATAACGTAATGTGTTATAACCACTGTCCAGCACCGTCATCTTGCAGCCTTCTGTATTTATATGCAAATTTTGATTGTCTAAACTAGATCTTGTTCATTTTGCTCATTTGACTTCCTCTGCCGGCCCCTGGATGCTGGACTCCCCCTTTGAGTCTGGAACCCCCCAAGGTTTCTTCCTACTAGGGAGTTTTATCTCGCCCCTGTCACCTGGCTTGCTCACTGGGGGCTTTGGGCAGGGATAACGTAACGTGCTTTGAGACAATGTAATGTTGTGAAAATGCACTATACAAATGACGTTAAATTGCATTTAATTGAATAATTCATAATAATCCACAATATAAAAACTACAATATTTTGCATTATTTTATAATTTTTTAAGTAATCTTGTCAGTGTGATTAAATGTATACTTTGTTTACTTTGTAAGAGGTTAGGGTGGAAGTCTGCTTATATGTTTATTTTGTTTCTCCTAGATGCAGATTGTGTGTGCTGTTCCTGTCTCTCTCCTTTACGCTTTACTTGTTTTTGCACTTTATCCCAGATCTAAAATCGCTCAGCAGGCCTGCTCCCCTGTCAAGTCAGCCCCAGATCCCTGTACCCCCACTAAACCAGGGGTCAAGCCCAGGGCATCCCCTGATGTGCAGGTCACACCTGATCCCTCCAAGGTGACCTTCATGCCTGAGCTTGACCTGCTGGCCCAGCTGTACTGCGTCTGCATTTCAGGTGGGGATCATCGTTGGGGAACCAACCGTTGCTTCCACTGGTGCCATTGCAAATCGCGCAGGTGTAAGAGGGAGGTTTGGGTCACTTCCACTTCACCAGTATTCGTCTCCTTACCAGAATGGTAGTGAAGGCAGTTATATTTTTCTGTACTGGAGACAGAGAGGAATGGGGAAGCAAGATACCATCATAGCTGTGTGAGGACTGAGTATAGGCATTTATGACCGATACCTATTGACCGTGCATTGAGCACTGGGATGATGGTCATGGTCTGTGTGCATTTTTCACAGAGAATTTGGTGCCTAATGTATTCCTGGAGCTGTTCTTCCTCCTCCAGCTGCTAACCTCACGGACTCAGCCCGTCGCTGAGACGGAAGAGGAGGGTCCCCAAGCGACAGGTGCCTGTACAGGTGAGGGACTCTCATCTGCAGCTGTCCTGCTCGTCTGCTCTTGTTGGGTTCTTCAGTTCAACCCTGTAGAAGCTCCATTGTCCATTGGTTTTATTTTGTAGATGTGCTTGAGATCCGCTACCTTGGAAGTCTGCACAATTGTGTCTACTTTGCTGTGAAGGTACTGGAGAACCAGTTTGAGTGAGTCTAACCCCTTTGATTTTTTTTCGATATTTTCGTTTACGCTTTGCCACCATTATGGGTCTTGAGTTTTGATACTAGAATTTTGATTTGAAGACCAACTTCATGAATATAATAATATTTTTCAGCTAAATAATATACTAAAAATGCTGCTGGCAATAATAATTTGACATTATGGTTTCAGCCAAAATTTATGTGGGAAAACAACACATCATTCACCTCAGTAAGATAATAAAACTTAATTATGTGAAATTTTACATTATTTGGAATAATTGAGGGTTTTGTGTTGGGCTGGAAGCACATTTTTAATTTTTCTCATGTAAAATAATGGATATAGGTTTCCGGATTTTTTTTCTTTTGCAGTACAATAGTTTTTCAAGAACAATTGCAGCCCCACATTAGAAGGGTTTCCGCAGCCTGTGGTCTGCACGCAGTGAGCCTGTGTTTTGTTACATTTCAGGCTTGTGTGTCACCTGGACAAGGGCACCCTGCGGCTGCTGGCAGAGAACGAAAGGCTGGGCTCCTTCTCCCCCAGCCTGCGTGAGCGGCTGACGCAGGCCCAGGAGACCCGCAGAGCCAAGGTGCAGCCCAAGGACACCAGCACTCTGCATACCCACTTTAGCAACATGCGCTAAACCGAACAAAACTCCAGTTCTCCAGAGAGTTAAGCTCGGATGAAAACCATCAAGGACTGGAAACCTTCATAGTTTCATGAAATGGATCGCGCATAATTTCTCTCTAATTTGAGCCGCTTTGTGTCCTAATGACCGTTGGTGTAGCTCACCTTCCACGGGGCAGTCACGATCCAGTGAACACTCACTGCAGTCTTCTGCCTTGTAGCAGCAGAATTCCTGGCTATAGCATTAGAAGAGAAAATGGTGGCTTTTCTCATGTACTGTGCTGTGCAGGAAATCTGTTGCCAAACATTAATGGGACGGTGCCCAAGCAGCATTGGTCAGCAAAATTTCCTGGCAACATTGCTCAAAAAAGTTACCCTTAGGCAGTCAAGAAAAATGTTTAAAGCAGCTTATCCTGGTAGTAAGTGTATATTTCTTCTGGAAAACACTATTTCACATTAGAATATATATAGATAATTAACGCAATAAAGAATAATGACCATTTCTTCTGTTCTCGAGGCAAATACTGGATGGCTACACGAACATTGCTTCAGTTTCCAAACCTCCACTCAGGCATCGAAGCCATTACGAGTTTTCACCTCCAGCTCAATTCCCTTAATTAAAAAACTTGATGTGGTATCGATTAGCCGATCGCGGTATGCTAGAAGTTGAGTCGGAAAATTTGTGGGTATATTGGATGGTGACTGCGAATTCCAGAGTGACTTTAGGAAGGGTTTTGAAATGACTAGGATCATACATGTTGACATTATCGTATGAGTTATAATATTATAGTTTTTCACTGGCATGAAGATCATTTAAACATAATTGACGCACCAATAAGTAACACCTATGAGTGTGGTGAAAAATGTCTCTCTGTCCCCTCAATCTGCAGGCGGCTCCCACACTTCCTCCATTCATGCAGTCAGTGTCCTTCCAGCCAGCGACAGATAATCGCTCCAACTTCAGCAGCGATAAGGCCTTCCACACCTTCAAGAAGCAGAGGTGCTTCAGCTACCAACGGGCTGGACTGACATGGGTCCGGCGTTTGCAGTCTAACACTGGTGTGGTGCTGTGGCTCTTGCAGGGACGTATTCTACGAGCTGCTGCGGGAGTGGGAGGATAATCACCAGGAACCAGGCTGGGAGTTTGAGCGAGTGCTCGGCAGGAAAGTCAGGTAAGCTTGGTACTACAGTAGCGGAATTGGACTGATGGGTTTTTTGGTAGCACTTTACTTAAGGCCACCTTTTTAGTAATTAAACACATTCATAATGCATTATAATGGATTCATAAAGCATTATAAACATGACTATAAATATTCATCAAAAGGCACAACACAGTCTATGAAGCTTTCATCTATAATGCACTATAGATACCTTCATAAGGAATTATAATGGTTGGTATAAGCATTAAGGATCCTTTGTACTGCATTATAAAGCTATTTAGATGAGAGCTTCATAAGGCAGTCATAATGCATAAAAACATGCCTATAATGTGTTATGCCTGTTTATAAATATTTATTTATAAACATATTTGTAATGCTTTATGAATCCATTATAATGCATTATGAATGTGTTAAATTAATAAAATCATGGCCTTAAGTTTTTTTTTTTGTACCATTAATGTTTTTCATTGTTGATGCCCCTAACCCTAACCCTTCCTAATTTCAGGGAGATGGTCAGCCAGATGTCTGTGGCAGGGAATCATTCTCATTTTGCCCGGCTCTTCCAAAAGCAGCTGGTTCAGGTAATGACAGCACTCGCCTCCATGCGTGTGCATAAGCCATGCTGGCTTCCTAATGCACCTGCACTTACCTGCTGCTGTTTGGCCCTCGCCAAGATGTGCAAGGCCCAGCAGGTGACGGGATCCCCGGGGGACGCCCCTGGCCCCGACCTCCTGGGCATCCTTGGAGCGGACAGCCTTGGCCGCCTGAAGCGCTTGCAGGAGCGCCTCATCCAGCCCCAGGGGCTCACCGGACCCTGTCCCCCACCTTCCTTTCCTGGCCACCAAGAATTCTTCCGGGACTTCCTGCGGACAGCTGGCAGGTAGGATCTCAGGACAGCTCGTTTCAGCAAAGATCTTTAGGTGAAATTTTCAAAGTGAATGAAAATGTCTTCCCAGGTTTTTGAGTGACTTTATTAATGTAACTCCGAATTATTCATTTTTATTTGTTTGTTGTTGTACATTATATTACATTATATATATTTATCTTTTGCTTTTGTCCAAAGCAACATATACCACAATTCATAAAGCAGAGTCAAGTAGTATCTTGGGGAAATTGGAAGTAAGGGCCTAGCTCAAGGGCCCAACTCTGCCAACAACAGGATTTGAACTGAGAACCTTCCGGTCATGGATCAGTAATAAACCCAAAGAGCTATATACTGCCCCATACAATAGTACATACATACATGTATTCTAGTATAGCCTTAGTATCATATATGGCTTATTTTTTGAATATGCTGTTACTGTCAGAAATATTGGAATTTAATATTTTTTCAATTGCTGCTGGTAGATGACCCATCCATTTGTGTGCCCCCCCCCAGCTGCCAGCTTAACCAGCACCTGACAGACAGCCTGTGTCAGCAGCTGCTTCAGTTGGATGAAGTTGCCATCCTGGATCTGGGTGGAACGGAAGAGGAGGGGGAAGGTGAAGGAGACATGGAGCAGCAGGTAGGAGGGTTGAATGCACAGGTGCCGATATCCAGCGGGGCAACAAGTAGCATGATGCTTAAGGACACAGATATGGTGATCTGACATTCTGCCAGCTGGGGTCTAATGAGACCCCTGCTGTTTCACTCATGGCAAAGGTAGGTAATGTGAATTGCATTATTTAAAATGTTCAGGTGCAAAAATGGGTTGAGAAAGTTTAGTATAAAGGCAAAGACTATATTAATGTGAACAGCAATAATATTATCGTTGAATTGAGAAGTATAAATGAGCCCTAATTCTATGTTTTTGCTTGTTTGTTTATTATTTACAGGACGAGAAGCAGAGGTTTTCCTCTGTTCTCCTTACTGCCCGACTCTTGGCCAAGTTCCTTGGCTTCATCACCTTCCTACCTTATCAGACTACTGAGCCTCCAGCAAGAGAGGTCCAGGAGGCTGCCATAGCCCTGCGCAACAATGTATG